ATTGGCCGGCATTTTGACACAGATCTCCTGGACTCCTTCCTACGCCTGTGGGTGTCCCTGTTTTCACACAGCCCTGCATCCAGAATTCAATGGAAGACGCTAACCAAAGAGAGCATCAAGACATACTCGTGCACACGGTGGTGGAGCTGGTGGGAGGTGCTTCATCAACTGCATCGATGCTTTGAGCACGTCATTCCATTCCTGGACGCCCTGGAAAGCAGCCCAACCACTTCTGCCAATGCCCGCAGAATCCTTGATGATTCCGAGCAACTCAAAGTGCTCCGTCTGCAGTTGGCCATCACTGTTGACGTTGGGAAGCTCCTTGTCAAGAAGACCTACCTCTTGGAGGGTGCTGGTGAGCTCATCGTCCAGGCTTATGGTCACCTGCAAGAGGTTTGCACCGCTATGGCCTTACAGAACTACCCGGAAACAGCTGCAGTCGCTGCAGAGCTTGCTGGGCAGAACGCAGTGGAGAAGCAAGCATTGCTAACCCTTGCTAAGGCCTGTGTTGCACCTGCTGTCCAGTATTTCAGAACCAAGTTCAACAAACAAGACACGCCAATGTTCAAGGAAGTGCAGCTCTTCATAGCCGTGCGCATTCTCTGCCCACAGATAGTGAGAGGGCTCGACCTGCAAGTGGACGATGTAGCAGCCCTACGTGTTGTTCCTGCTCTCGACTCCGATGAAATCATGGCGCAGCTGACAGAAGAGCTTCCTGCATACGCTGTTGCGGCTGTGGACGCAGTGATCAGTGAAGATGCCCCGCGTTTGAAATGGTGGGCACAGCAAACCCACCTTCCAGCATGGCAGCTGGCAGCAAAGATTGTCTTTGCATTGCTTCCATCCTCTGCCCCAGCAGAGAGAGAGTCACTAACTTCTCGCTTGTACAAGCTTCTTTCAACTCACAGCAGACGAGTTTACTGGGAGATCATCTGGAGGCGTCACTTATGCTGCAATACAATCGGGGTCGCCTGGCCATGGAGTAAATCCCACTATCCGGCAAGGGAACTGATGTGAAGTTTTCCAAGCCCGGCATAATCCAGTCCCAATGCATGAACTTGTTTCACCTGCCAGGTATGAACTATTATATTCCATACTCAGCGTTATCCAGTCCCAACATATGAACCTGTCAGGTATGAACTGTTATATTCCATACTCCGCGTTATCCAGACCCAAAGTATGAACCATGTTACAATCACTGACTTGCCGCACCACTTGTACAAGAAAAGAGGAACTTGTCTATTGTATTACATTGATCTATAATGAAGTTCAAGTAATACTCTAATGTACATGTCATCACTGACATGGAGCAGAATTGAGCAGAATGTGGGTGTTTTGCGAGCAGAATGCGAGCATAATGAAAAGCAGAATGGGCCTAATTCCCGAGCATTATCCGCCGGGGCCTATTAGGGTTCCCAGTAAAAAGGCAACATTGCCTGTTGGGAAATCCCTAACAAAATAAGAAAAAATAATATTCATACATGTCACGTGCCTGTTGTCAGGTCGTTGCTAGCATTTGGCCAATCAGAGCAGCACCGTACCAGGGCATTATCAGACGATAATGCCCGGGTACGGCGTACCCATGCCCATTAGGAATGACCCCAGGCGTACTACGTACGCTGGTGCACTGCCAAATATGCACCAAGCCATGCCTTTTGGGCAGTGACCTGGTACATAATTGGCAGTACTCCAGCGCACATAGAACACATGGGACCATTCCTAAGGACACCACATGCACTCGTACTCGCACACACCACACAAAACGAAACTACTAACGTGCACCGTCCAAAACATTTATATTTTACTAGCAATGTCGACATAGGAGAAGTAATTTATAACAACGTGACAATAGCACACAGCATGTCATTACCATGCATTACTAAATTCAAGTCAATTGAGACGAACAAGTCAACAGGTGAACATGCATCACAAAGTTACCTATCTGGAAGAGATCAGATTGTATCTCGAACTCCTACAAAATATACAGTTACATCTACATTGTACTTCAAATGTACCTAGCTACATGATTGTCCAGTGTACACATGGACCTCAAGTAAACTGAAAGCAATGCGAACAAAATCTCAGATGTATGTGAAAAAGTATCATTGTTCCGAATAAGAACACTTACAATGTACTCTCAAAACTAGTCTAATTACTAGTGCCCCTTGGTCAAGGATGTTTGCGGCCAACGTTAACGCCAAAGCAGCAGCGAATCAGCTAACTTCCGTACCGCCCAATAGGCAACACTAACACCAAAATGCAAAGACATATTCCTGGAACTGCAAGTAAATCTGACACAACACGTTCTATCATTCCACGGAGAAAGCTCCTTCCGATCTTGTTCGACCCTTCATTCATATGGAACCTTCCTCCTCCCTTGACCATGTTTACCTTATTTGTCTACAACTAGGCACGTGGCATGTATGAACCAGGGAGTAGTACAATACCGGGAGGTGACACGGCCACACATTCAGGCGGGCGAGCTTTGCCTCAGGTCACTTTTCTGTGGAGCGCTGTGTCCCGGGAAACGTCACGAAATATCGTACTTCGCGCGCTGTGTCCCGGGAAACGTCACGAAATATCGTACTTCGCGTACCATTTATCGTAGCATTTCGTAGCATTTTTCAAAAAAATTCATAGAACGACTTGAAGAGAGTGGCAGAATGCTGTCAAGAAGTTTTCGAGCAGTACTTTTTGAAGTTTGTTTTGACGATGTAGGGAACGAATCCATCAGTCTTTGCTGAGTGATGAGGATGAATCCTACGAAGGATATCAAGTAGCAGCTGGCCTTCGCACGGGTACCTTCAGTGTGTCCAGTATTTACGTGGGCGGCTTGTAAGAGTGAAATTTTCTTCCTAATTTAATTTGTATTACATTTAGTTATTCACGTCGTTTCTAGGGGAATAGATAATGTTGACTCAAGTTTTAGTCACAATGAACAACATGTTTCAGGTATGGCTGACCCGTCTCAAGATAGTAAGGCTATTCCGAATCCAGATGCTATAGTCGTCAGAGAGAAACACAAAATAAAATAAATTTTATACTGCAGGGGCAGCTATTCGCAAATGTCACTATGACGCAAGTCTGTGTCAAGGGTGTGAACGTGATAGTATCGTTCTTCTCTGCTGTTGAGAAATCATTTCCAGCTTGCGGCTGTCCATGTTCTTCATGTGACGATGGACAAGAGGCTGTATGAATCAGAACAAACATAAAACCACACAGGCTTCATCGATATGTCTGTGTTGTGCTTTTGTTTTGCTGCAGGTTTTATCAAACAAGTCAGATGCGATCTGCGGATAAGATATTTCATTTACGTACACTGTGCAGATTTATAAGCCTAGTTGGTGTGCATGAAGAGCATTGAAATTGTTCTGGTGTGTGCGTGTTTGGCCGTTGCTTTTTTGGGCGTTCTTTTATGTAATTGGATCTGTTTTTCCTCCATCAGCTTATTGTCATATAAGCATATAAAGCATGGGCTTACTTGGCTATTATTGAATGACTGTACTCTGCTGTCTGACTTACGGGTAGCACTTGTTGGTGAAGAGATTGTCATACACGATGCGCTGTTATTCGCAGCAGGCAGTGACTTCTGATGACGTGTTCTGTGCAGTAGATGGCATACCAAAAAGAGATAAGCCATGTTATATCCGACGTCCACCTTACACATATGGTAGAACTGTGCAACTAACCTTGTCAGATGAGAGTATTTATCATCGTCTATACAAGAATGATCTTCGTCAATGGGGTGCGCTGTAGAACACGCATGAAAACAAATACAACCCCAAAACGTAGTTTCAGTATTGCTTCAGTGTCATATTTATAATCAACAATGTTGTATTGCAGAATTATACCCTTCTCATGATTGCTATTGCTCAACACGCTAGGACTGCATAAGTACACACCAACATCCCCAAAACAAAATGCATTGAAACCACTTGAAACCACTCCTGCTATATAATTTGTTTACTTTTTGGGTGAGGAGCAATTGGCGTTGGGCAGGCAGACTTCGCAGCCGCACCCAAGTCGTCGCTCTTCCTCTTCTGTCCACGGGTTCTGGGGGTTAAAAAAGCAACAAAGCAAGCAGGCCTGGCCTCATTCAGTGCTGAAAACAAGTGATCTTGAACATTATGTTCAAGTCTATACAAATTAATAAGTTTCAAAATTTTCAGAATGAGTTTTACAAAGAGTTACATAAGCTAACACGTTGAGATGAAGTAGAATGGTAGACAAATAGGTATACTTTCGAAATATCCCAACTTGGTGAGGTGTCCGAGTGGGTCCAAATGAGAAATTCAGGTTCGTGTTACACCATGTCAAGATGAGAAAATTCCATCACGTTACTTACCTAGGATAGCGTCCTCCATATTCGTCACTTCCATCCATTTTGGGAAGTCGAGACTTGGCAGCAGTGTGGACGATGTACCAGAGTAGCTCCCAAAAAAGGCTCGAGCTGAAAAGAACAAGTGGCAGCTTGTCACGAAGGGATACGTCTGGTCTTCTCGTCACTATTTGAAGGTTTCTCATCGCTGTCAAAAGAGCAAAAATTTGAATTTTCGCGCGGTTTGTATTTTTTTTGTGAGGCAAAGCTCGTAATCCCGGATGTGTGGCCGTGTCACCTCCCGGTATTGTACTACTCCCTGGTATGAACTATAATAAACACATGGTGCGCCGTGCATTATGGCTGATTGTATGCCCTAGTGCGTAGCCCTCGGTCGTGCACCGTAGCCCGCGGGCCTGCGGCCCTTGGGCTACGGTGCACGACCTCGGGCTACGCACTAGGGCATAAATCAGCCATAATGCCCTCCGTACCATTATTATATACATAATAATAAATAATAATAAACGTTCGACTTCCAGCAGGTCAGAGGTCGAACATTTGAACAGAGTACTGCAATGCAGGGATAGGGTTTCATTCCATGATGCAGACAGTCCTCGTACTATGACGCTGGTACAGTAGTACGGTTGGACGACCTTGTGTGAATACTTTATCAAGGGTGCACTCTTGACTTTATTGATAGTGGGAGGAGTAAGTCTGTTGATAGGAGGCAGTCTCCACTACTTCTCTTCTTGAATAGACTCGGAGCAGGTTTCAGGACACAGTACTCGGTCCCTTCTTCCTCGCTGCTGTTTGTGACCACCAGGGTACTATTGCCGAGGCCGAGGACTTCATCTGGCGGGTCGGCAGTGCGCATGCACCCATCGTCCAACAGGATGGTAGTAAGTACATGTACCTGACTCGCTTATGAATACCATAACTATGTATTCGGACTAGGATCGGTTTTCGAAAAGCATGTGAATGAATAAGGATGATCGTTGATAGCGTTTATGTCAGTAATAAGTACAAGGTCGTTTTCCCTCCAAACGCCTGCTATATTTGGATGTTGCCTCCTCTGTCTTCCATTGTGTTCTGGTGTTGTATGTACATGTATACTCGTATTTTCGATTTTGACAGCATGTTACACGCGTAGTGCTCCTGACTACCACCATAACCCTTGTATATGTATACTCGTATTAGGGAGGTTCTGCTATACGTGAAACGTAGAGAAATCACGTAGAGAGCAGGTGTCTGGGTTAGAGTCTACGGCTTCGCGTGTTTTGGCTCCAGATTTCTACGCGGAGATGGGGTTCTCTACGTTGTGGCACACGCAGAGAAAATGCGTACGGATTTGCTGGGTATCGATCAACTGCATGCAGAAAACTGCCAAATATGGAAGGGGAAATTCCCAGTACACATTCCACGTGACTTCTCTAGGTGAAACGTAGAGCAGAACAGCATTTCTTTACGTTACGGGAACGCGAAGAAAGTTCGCGTGATTCTTTGCGTCGCGTTCCCAAAACGTAGAGCAGAACCTCCCTACTAGTACCGTAAAATCCCGCCAGAGCGCCCCTACCTCCTCGACGCTTCAGGTGGGGAGGGGCGGATGGGCGAGTCCTACTTGCCGCATTCAGTGCTGCATGAAAAAGTACTCACCCTACGAAAACTGTTCGTGCCTCTCGTACAACGACCAAAGGTCAAGAGCCAGGAGTCGTACACAGTCCGTGCGCCAGATTAAAAAAAAGTCGTCTAAAAGTTGACTTTTCATTTTCCGCACTGGGCAGTTTGCGGGTACTTTTTGAGTCGCATTCTCAATGGTGGACAATTTTGGAAAATGGTTTTGTGTCTATGGCTCGTTTGTTTTGGCATTTCGCTACCTGTGTGGTATGGTGAGCCTAAAAGTTTCGACCCTGGGTGCACGTGCAGTGCACGTGCATAGTACTACTTGTGCATGAGGATGTCGCAAACATGAAGAATAATGTCATGTCGCTGTCGCAGCTCGTCGCAAGTCGCATGTCGCGTCGCAGAAAGTTGTATTGTGAATCGGCCTTTATAGCTTTAAAGCCCGATTCACAATACAACTTTCTGCGACGCGACACGCGATTTGCGACAGTTGCGACAAGAAACTGCCTGTCGCGAGCTGTCGCAAGCTGTCGCAATGCACCTGTCGCAGAAGTTGAAGAAAGTTCAACTTTCGCGACATGCGACACGCGACATACACAAATGGAGTACAGTTTCGACCCTGGGTGCACGTGCAGTGCACGTGCATAGTACTGCTTGTGCATGAGGATGTCGCAAACATGAAGAATATTGTGAACCGTGTGTCGCTGTCGCAGCTCGTCGCATGTGTCGCAAGTCACATGTCGCGTCGCAGAAAGTTGTATTGTGAATCGGTCTTTATGCTGACCTTTCAAAAAAAAAAAAAAAAACTAGCAACTTCAAGAGTGCATAAACATGGACTCTTGCTACATGTACTATACTACGGTACTCGAAGTACTAGTTTTGGGGAACAGTAAACTATGAATAGACCCGACGTCACAAGTTCATCATTGCACAGATCGTTTTGTTTCCGCCACTAAACTCTTGCATGTACAACTAATTACTTTGTATGTACAACTTTTATGTACTACCATACTGGACTTTGTACTTTCTTTCTTTTTTGAAAAACGTAAAATGTTTGGCACCTATGAAATCAGGGGATGGCCCACGCCTGGTAAAAAGAAACAATGAGGAGCTACACGTGAGAAAAAGACAGTGATAAAGGACCATCAGTGAAAAGGTACATAATTAGAAAAACAGAACGAGAACATGACTCAGTGACCGATTCCAACGCCGGCACCGTCATTTACGGAGAGTCCCATCAGACGGCGACGGGAGCCTCGGATCGCAGACGCATGTCCACGGCGCTGAAAATGGCGAACTGAGCGCGCACGCGTACCCAAGCCATCATGGCAGAGAAGGGCTTCTCCCATTTCGCTGCTAAGCGGCTGGCGAGACTTTGTACAGTGCTCCCTCTATAATCCGGCACCATTTGTGCCACGGAAAATCTGCTGGATTAGGGAGGGTGCTGGATAAACAAATCGGATTTACTGCTGCAATGTGCATGATGCGGACATTTCGGCTTTTACTGAAAATTGTTCTGGTTTATCGAGGGTGCTGGATTATAAAATGCTGGATTAGAGAGGGACGACTGTACTTTTCATGAAATTTTCTCAAATTAAGTTACACGTGAAACCTGGCAAGTACCCTATCAAAAATTTGATAATAATAATAATAAGTCCCGGCCACCGAAATTTCAATGCACCGAAAATTACATGTTTTACAGTATGTTACAACTGTAACTTCACTTGCAACATACACGCACAAAAAAATAGCACATTTCGCGTAGTAGAGCACTAAATAAAGAAATTCAGTGTTTCTTCCGCTTCTGCACAATCTTGCACAAAATACACACACTGCTTTGGCCAATTGCAACTTAGGATTATTATTATTATTATTATTTATTCATATTTTGATAGGGCAATCCCCACAGACTCAAGGTCTTCTTACGGGATCCCATTGCCTGTGGGGCCCCTAGCTTTTTGGCGCCCGCTTGTGTCATAGTTACATTTGCGGACAGCCGCCTCTGCAGGATAAATTGTGTTGTTTTCTTTTTCTATCTTCACTCTGATGATCTGTTCAAATAGCAGTGAAACCGGTCAGTTCAGTCAAAAAAACAATCTGCGCAAATGATGAACCTGTGTTTCAAGGTTCCCTTCAGAAACTTTTTCAAGGGCTTTGCACTATCGATCCACACCCGAAAGGGAACCTACCTGCAAATTTTGAGCGAAATCGGAGAGATCCACTTGCACACATACTTTGGTATTCTCAGACATGCTCTCTTAAAAGGATATTGTGGAAAAGTAGAGATAGGAAAAAAAGAGAAAGAAAAGAAAACGGACGGCTGGCTGTAACGAACAGATATCAAAGATATCAAATGGAAAACCTATGTCGCTGATAATTTATACTGCAAGGCTTGAGATTTGAAATCCAAATACCTATTTGAACATTTTTGCTGCTGGTGGCAATCTATTCCACATAATGGCAATGTCAAGTTAATCGACTGGAAGTGCCAGCTCTCAGAACTTCGAAGTACGTAACGTGTGGAGCTGCCGACTTCCTTCACTCCTTTTTGCACTGCGTTTATCACCTTTCTGGTGTTGTAGTAACACTGGAATAGGTTGTACACAGCGACTTCCGCCATAATTCCGTAGGAAACGCGCTAGCTCCCGCGTAGGGAGCAAGACATAATCAGCACTAGAATTGAGATAAAACATTGCAAAGAAGAGAAAAAAAACAGAGTTTCCTTGTCCTTGGTTGCTTTATTTTCTGCCGGGCGTGAAGAGGAGGCAATGGATGGGCTCGAGGAAAATTTGGACTTACATGCTAGGGGTGTGCGGATAATGCTCGAAAAGGTGGCAGATTCTGCTTGAAAAGCAGTGAAATTGGCAGAACCATACAAACCTTATGGCGGGCAATTCCTCAAATTCTGCTCCATTTCTTTATCCACATACATGTACATGTACATGCATGAAACTTACCAGAAAAAGTACCGAATTCTGCCAATTTTCTGCCGGCATTATCCGCATAATCATTATGCCTACTACATGCAGCCTCTGGCGAGCCTAAAGATTCCATAACAACAAGGTACTGGACTGGAGTAGACTAGACTCTTTAGTCTTCCTCCTTGGACGAATAGAGCCTTAGACCACTTAAGGACTCCGGAAAACTACTACTAGTATCGTTACATTACAAACGACTGGTTTTCCGGGACGAAGAGTCAACTCGTACTCGTAGATCGACGCGACGTAGACTAGACGTAGGATTCCAAGGCCGACGATCTCATTGAAGAACGGATGAGTAGTGCGGGATGACGAAGGCCGGCGCGCCGCCCTCTGTGCCTACATTGCAGTAGATTTCTACCCGGCAGTGGCCATACGACCGCGTAGATCTACTGTACCTCGACCAGATGTTGGTGCCCCTGTAGTCCCCGCTGTAGGTCTACACCCGGTACCCTCGCGATATGACTATATGATACTACAGTGTATATGAGCTCGATATGACTACTCCGCAGATCTACACACTCCGACACAGTAACACAGTACGATCTTAAGCCTGGTTCACACTAGGCCGATTTTCCGGCCGATACTCCGACACCGACTCCGACACGGAGTCTGCCGACTGTGTCGGATGAGTCGGACTAGCTGTTCACACACAAAGGTGGGCAATTTCGTTTGTACTTTGGTTGTACATGTAGGCTTGTCAGTTACACACGTACACGCCGTACACAGCCGCACTGCCACTAGACAGTAGACGCTAGCTAGACAGCGGAAATGAGATAGTTTTTACACGAGCCACAAAGCCAAAGCGGCAAAGGTGTGAACGGGCTAGCGTCTAGTAGTACTAGTACTAGTACTGTAGTAGTAGCGATCCAGTGCAGCCAGTTCACATGGTTCACGGTCTGCACCAACGCTCTCCGCTGTCATGGTGAAAAGCCTACAGTGATTGGTCCGGTGCATGCTCCATCACGCGCAAGCACTAAAATTCGGCCGGCTTTTCGGCTAAATATCGACCAGTCGATACTTGGCCGAAAACTAGTGCGACAAGAAAATCGTCGCAGATTTGTCGGAAACCTGTACGACAACACCGTTCACACTACGCAATTTTCGCCCCGACCTTGAAGATTTTTCGTACGAGTCCATGTCGGCCGGAAAATCGGCCTAGTGTGAACCAGGCTGTAGACCTCTACACTACAGACTAAGGCTGCGTTTACACGACAACGCTGGGGGCGAAAACGCAACGAAATCCTTTCGGATCCATGGTTCATTTACACGGTACGCGGAACAAAACGTAAAAGTTGTACACCAAAACGGAAGAAAACCAAAACGCTGGCCAAGGTGGAAGAATTTGAAAACGGAAATGTTCTGCCGGATAAATTTGGGTGTGTAAACAGTCGAAACGGTGTGCTGGCCTCGTTTTCCGTCACGTTTGTTTCGTTTTCGGCCGTTTACACGGATCCGACAATCCAAAAAATATTTAAAATTGTTTTTACAATTTTCGTCATGTGACGTGTGTTGATGTCGTGTGCCTGTTTTCAACCATTACCTGAATTTGATTTGTGCTTCCACGGCAACACTTGGCACATGACGAACTTCGGCGGATCCTTTGCTCTCGTGTAGACGCTTGAAAACGGTACAAACGGAGACCACCTCGGATCGGCTTTGATCGTGTAAACGTACGAAAACGAAAAAAGAAATGCGGGACTGAAAACGGAAAACTGGCCGTGCGTTGTCGTGTAAACGCAGCCTAAGTCACGCCGATCACCGGCCTAGCCTAGCGCTTACTGCTTAAGCCTGGTTCACACTAGGCCAATTTTCCGCCCGATACTCCGACACCGACTCCGACACGGAGTCTGCCGACTGTGTCGGATGAGTCGGACTAGCTGTTCACACACAAAGGTGGGCAATTTCGTTTGTACTTTAGTTGTACATGTACATGTAGGCTTGTCTGTTACACACGTACACGCGGTACACAGCCGCACTGCCACTAGACAGTAGACGCTAGCTAGACAACGGAAATGAGATAGTTTTTACACGAGCCACAAAGCCAAAGCGGCAAAGGTGTGAAAGGGCTAGCGTCTAGTACAGTACTACTGTAGTAGCGATCCAGTGCAGCCAGTTCACATGGTTCACGGTCTGCACCAACGCTCTCCGCTGTCATGGTGAAAAGCCTACAGTGATTGGTCCGGTGCATGCTCCATCACGCGCAAGCACTAAAATTCGGCCGGCTTTTCGGCTAAATATCGACCAGTCGATACTTGGCCGAAAACTAGTGCGACAAGAAAATCGTCGCAGATTTGTCGGAACCCTGTACGACAACACCGTTCACACTACGCAATTTTCGCCCCGATCTTGAGGATTTTTCGTACGAGTCCATGTCGGCCGGAAAATCGGCCTAGTGTGAACCAGGCATAAGCCTGGGTCAAGCGGCGAGCTAGGCAGGAAGAGTTCGGAGCGTGTCCCACAGCGGTAGTTTGTTGGTAGCAAAATGCAACTACCGGTAATACAGTCATGTACTTTCTCCAGGAGGAACCAACCACTCGAAATTATCCAGCGCTTCGCTCCTTCTAACCTGCCTCATTCCGTAGTTGCCATGTTACTTGCCACTGGCTGCAGCACCACGACGCCAAGTTCTCGTGTGACGGTAGAGGATTCAGGGAAGCTTAGCTGGTCGCTTGCTTTTCTTATGACAAGAATTGTCCGACTGCTGTACAAGGAAAATGTGGTGGACAAGGAGCTCGTTGACGGTATCGACTTTTCGCAGAGCTAGGGCCCATGTAGTTCTGCCTGTTCGTACTAGAGGTAGGAGGGTAGAGTTCTTTCCGGCCAATTGCAACCGTCACTCCAGGTAAGTGATGACGTTGGGAAAGTAGGCCACCTACAATGTACCTACACCTACTGCTGTTTTCTCTCAGAAACTCGACACTTGCGAGCCAGGTAAAAGCATCTCCTGTCAGAGCAGTGGCTTTGGAAATCGAGCAAGTAGTCTTGGTAAAACTGTTGTATGAAATTTGGAGACATTGCGTTGTTACGAATAGAAAACTCTTCTCTGAAATCTTTTCCAACCTGGTGTCTGGTTTGTCTCTATCTGCGGTGTTTCACAGCTGGGGAGAATACTGCCAAGGGCAAAGCTGCTCTTTTCTTTGCTGGTCGTGCTGTTGGCTATCAACACATGTAACGCAACATGCCCTAAAGGCCAACATGAAAGCAACGTTACCAACTCCTGTGCTCGTAAGTTGTGTGAAAATGAACAGCTTGTGCCCAATGTCTTGACCGGGTCTGACCTACTTCGAAGTATCTTCATGACCTCCTTGTTCCTTGCCACTTTTTGAGGTCAAAAGGTCTATGGGGCCGTCCGTAAATACCGTTAAATCCCGCCAGAGTGCCCCTACCTCCTCGACGCTTCAGGTGGGGAGGGGCGGATGGGCGAGTCCTACTTGCCGCATTCAGTACTACATGAAAAAGTACTCCCCTACGAAAACTGTTCGTGAATCTCGTACACCGACCAAAGGTCAAGAGCCAGGAGTAGTACAGACCCGTCGGAACTCAGGGTTTTTGCGATCCCTGGTCAAGAGGGTGGGCAATGTTGCGTATATTTCCAACGGGGTTGGGCACGTGTCTGCAGACTGAGTGCAGTACAGTACGGCATCACAGAGTCATACGAGGATACAAGCAATCACTTCCCTGACAAGAAGTCAGGGAGGGGCGGATGGGAGAGATGGGGCGCTCTGGCGGGATTTTACATCTAACAGGCTTTTCTTTCTTGACCCCCCCCCCCCCCAAATGCAGATAAAGCCTAGTTCACATTCGACGGGGCACGACGTAAGGATCGTTGGGAAGCGACGGGTCGGTCTGACGGCGTCCAATGTGAACACCAGGAACGGGAACGCAACCGTACTACCGTACAGATCGGGAAGCGACAGGAAGAGTTGGATCGATCCAACTTTTCATACCGTAGACGGGCGTAGACGGGGACGCAAGCGTACAAAACGGCTGCAATTTGAGTGTGAACAGGAGACGGCGTCGTGCGCCGACGACTCCCGATTTGTACTTGGAAATTTTTAGCATTTCAAACACTGCGCTTCCCATGATAACTCACAGAATGGCTAGCACGACCTGAGTTGAATTTTAGCAACATAAGATCTCATGTCACTTATTGTATTTAGGGATAGTTCAGAAGCGTGACAGACGAACTATTCTATCATTTCCTGGGGCTATTATTTGAATGCCACAACTTTCAGGGCTAATTTTTTGGTCTTCATGAAAAACTGGTACAGTAAAACCTGTAACTAACGACCACCCCTTGGTGCCCGGAAAAGTGGTCGTTAGTGGCAGGTGGTCTTTAGTTAGAGGTTTGCACCGCGCGACCATATATGGATCCCATTATATGATATGTATGTCAAAATGCAGATAATACAATCCCCCACCACTTGCGCACTGACATTCTTCTTTCAGATCATACAACACTTGGAGAGAGAGAAAATCAAGTTTTTTATACACCGGAAGCGATACGACCTTTTGACACGTATGTCGACTCACCGGGTTTCCAGAGCAGCGCTGGCCTGGCCAGGCAGTGCAGTGAGTAGTGTGTACCAGTACGTGATGCGGCGATGTTGCGATGTTGCGAGTTTTCGCACCTTTCACTGTAGACTATTATCCGCCATCGTATCCTGGCCTGTGTTCCGTACACATGGTACAGGTGAGTACATAATACCGTAGCATGCTAGCTAGCCAGCACAGACTGTCAGTGTGACCTGGTGTAGTGGTGAGTCTGGTGACTGAGCTGTGTGATTGCACTTCGACAGAGAGCCGCTCAGTCTTAGTTTCTCCTTCGAGTAGTAACATCGATCAAAGAGCGCTTTGGATGCGCTCTCCAAGACGTTTCCTATCATGTTTGTTCTTGACAGCACTTGAAATTATGACAGGTGTAGTGCAATCCACACTGATTCCACAGTAAAAATGAGACTGCGCTCATTTGTCCAGCTGTAGTATCGAAACGACCATGGAAAATCATCAAAATTTCGAGAAGGAGCTTCAAGCAATGCTTGATTTGCTACATCGCGGTCGCTAGTTACGGGTCAAAATTCGACATTGGGACAAGAAAAGGCGGTCGCTGGTCGCGTTCAGCAGGTAGTCGCTAGTCACAGTGCATTTTGAATGTGAGACCGTCCGTGCCTGACGAAGTGGTCGGTAGTACCAGGCCGGTCGCTAGTCACGGTGGTCGTTAGTTACAGGTTTTACTGTATTGTGAACTTGATTCCGCTTCTTTCAAGGAGAAATAATTAAAAAGAAGTCCCGAAAAACGAGAAATTAGGTCCGAAAGTCACCCCGTCACGGACCGTGCCTTATGACTTGCGCCGTTCGACGTTGAACGTCGCAACGACGGCTGCATGTCGTGTCGTACGAATCGTACAGGATTTTACAGCTCACCCCGGCCCTCCCGACAAGCCCTTACGTCCCGTACCGTCGGCGGTGCGTCGAATGTGAACTAGGCTTAACACACCACTCATATTAAACACCGCACTATGCACACGTAGTGTGTACAGTACAGTCGACTCCACTTATAACAAACTCGCATATAGCGAGTTTCGTGGTATAGGAAGCCCCTGTCCATGTCCCTGTTTGAACCCATACAAGATTGCACCTTTACTTTGAAAGGTTTTTTGTTTATAACGAACCAAATCACACCTGCAAGTGTGCTGGTAACTGACTGTTACTGCTTGCAAGCGCAGGTTTCTGGGAGTACCGAGTATGCGTCCCTGTCTGCTCTGCCGTGACGTGTGTAGTGCGTCTCAACGCTTACCTGCACTAGAGATAGTATAATACTCTTGGTACTGGCAAGCACTAAAATAAAAAAGAGATATTAAATTTCTGCAGTCATCGCCACACTACAACGAAGTCATGTGCGTTTACCAAAATTAATTTTCTTGTCGCATTCATCAGTGGAAAGTCATGACTGAAGAGTAACCATGCTGAACCTTTGAGGAATACTCTTTCTATTGCTAATGAGTGATATGCACGGGCTTTGTGCACCCGCTTCTGGATCGAAGTAGGGCACACTCCATTTTCCTTACAGCGCTTCAAGAAGATAATGTCGTCTCGGTTGGAGAACGAGCTGCCTCTTCTACGTTACCCTCGCCACGCCACACATCAACCGGACTAGTCAAGTGGTTTTTCTCTGGAGTTAGAGAGAGAGAGAGAGAGAGCTTTTCATTACTGCACCTCAGGAGCCGACGGAAGAACTTATAAACTGACAACGAACGACTGACCACTGACATGGCAAAAAGAAACATGATATCAGAAATTGGTGCCCTCGTCAGCACAAAAAGTGGTTTACTCAGCACAAAAAGGTGCACGTGTCGGCAACAAAGCAGCGCAGCAGCATGTACGGCTCAGCAGCACAGTGGCACAAATACAGCAGCAGCTACGGCAAAAAGACAACATGTGCAGCCACATGTACACACAGGGACACAAATACAGCGGCAGGTACGACAAAGAGATAACACGTGCAGCTACATGTACACACAGGGACACAAATACAGCAGCAGGTACGGCAAAAGAGACAACACCTGCAGGCACATGTACACCAATAATATTATGTGAAATTCTAGCCAAGTAGCGTTTGCGCAGAGCATCATTCAGGATTTCAACCTGACTCCTAGAGTATCTCCGTTTAAAAAATGCAAATAATCGACGTGGAGACAACAATTTTATAATAGCAATAAAGAAAACAAATTCTGCAGTCATATCGCCACACTACAACAAAGTCATGTAAGTTTACCTAAATTAATTTTCTTGTCACATTTCACATAATATTATCGTCTTGAAGCGCTGTAAGGAAAATGGAGTGTGCCCTACTTCGATCCAGAAGCGGGTACACAAAGCCCGTGCATATCACTCATTAGCAATAGAAAGAGTATTCCTCAAGGGTTCAGCATGGTTACTCTTCAGTCACGACGTTCCACTGATGAATGTGACTTGCCCGAAAATTCGAATAATTTTAATATCTCTTTTTCTTTTAGTGATTGGTGTAGCCCAGAGACCGTTTGGAAAGTGTTGTGAAGATGTATGGATATAGTGGATGGCTACAGTGGAGTATTCACATTTTTGCGAAAGGTACTAGCAAGAGTATTATTATAACCCCCCAAGAGTGTGCAACTCCTGATACCCTTTCTATGGGGTACGGCGACAGCGAAAACTGCCATCACGTGGTGCAGTATCGCAGTTGTACGTTTCCAGCCCCATCTGCAGAGTTGCACACTCTTGGGGGTTGTAATAATTATACTCTTGGGGGTTATAATTATACTCTTGGTACTAGCTGTAGCAATACTACATCACTTACATGTACAACACGCGGAATGGTATGCATGCACTCCGAAATGTATATTTTTGAAATGCCTCAGTGCAAGCGAACCGACCCACCACAAACGCCTGTTAGACGTCTCTAAGTAAATACATGTATTTACGGACGGCCCCTAAGAGCCGCAGAGAATACGAAATACAGCCAAGTTTTCAAAATTAGGACAGGTATGTATGCCTTTGCGAATTGTATGGAGAAGCAGATCCCAAACCCAGGTTTTAAAGTTGACCCCCCCCCCCCCCCCCATAACACTGGCCGGCAGGCGTTCGATATTAATTGATTACTGAAACGTTTGTAGCCCCATCATTTCTTGTGCAAAGTCAATAATCGAAAGGTCTGCGTGGCAGCGGAAACTCCAAGCTCTAGAATGCAACAGTCACCCAAGAGTTACGATGTTGGACACCACCGATAATGCACGCCGTATTCTTATCTCGTCGAATTCAAATTTTGATTGATTTCTTCGCCATATGGGGGGGGGGGGAGGGGGGGGGGGCTTTGTAGACAGAAGGAGTTTGTCAGAAAGCTAGTGCTATCTTGGCTTCCTGCCTCCCCGTTATAGTTCTTGTCCTCTTCGGCGCAAGTCACACCATTATTCAGACTGTGTACGTTTCGTCACATTTTGTCTGCCAATATGCTGCGTAAATTGACATCGTTGCGCTTCGTCACATTAGAGAGTTTCTGCGCAACGAAAAAAATTCGAACGAAGTTTCGCGACAGGCCTTGCGAAAATGTGTATTAATTTTCGCACGAACTTTGTGTTCTGCACATTTTCGTAGTTTTCACGCGCCAAGTGCACATACACCATGACCCGATCTCACGAAAGTTCATTTCGCGTTCCCTGCAAGTTTCGCGTCCAAAGTTGCGAAAGTTCGTGCGAAATTTCTCACTTCATGACGTAGAGCGAAAGTTCGTACACATTTTCGTTTTGCAGAACCTCTCTATTATCACCATGTACTGATTTGAGGAGTAATGGTACGAAAGGCCTTATCAGATTTGCAACTGGCTTCGCCTCTTCGTGTGCTAATATGGAAAGAAAGATGTAATAATATATATACAGTCAACTTCGCGTATAACGACATTCGGCGGGGCATCAAGAAAGTGTCCTTATTCGCGAAGTGTCGTTATACCCGAAGTCTCATTATAGTTATGTATTACAGTTGGAAGGGACTTTGCTCTGGGCATGGAAATGCTGTCGTTATTCGCGAATACGCCTTATGCACATTGTACAGATGCACGAAATCCCGTAGAATCTTGTAGAATCCCGTAGACCCGGTTGGGTGTTGAATGTGCAGGACCCTATTGTGTTTACTGCTATTTCCACTATGAAATGGGCCATGAAGGCATTTCATACGAAATCTTTTTCCGGCAGAGATCTAGCTAGTCGTTAGTTCAATCCCAAAGTGAAGAAGGCTTGAAAAGTGATCGTTTGCCATGAATTGTGAGGCTAAATGGGTCAAACGCGCATGTATAGCACACAATGACCACCCAACCGGGTATGTACACACCTACGGCCATAGTACAGAACTTCGTACTTCGTGTACATCTGTACAATGTGCATAAGGACTATTGTCGTTATATCCGCAGTCGTTATTAGCCAAGTTGACTGTATAGTGTAATGGTGATTTTGTCATCGGGGAAGAAACGCGGGCGTAGTATGTGTGGTGCTTCTTGAGCAGAACACATCTTTATTTTTCAGAAATGCACCTGTGCGTGTACTGTAAGCTACCGCATACAGTCAACTTTGCTAATAACGACTGCGGATATAACGACAATTCGCGAATAACGACAGAATTTCTATGCCCAGAGCAAAGTCGCATCCAACTGTAATACATATAATGAGACTTCGGGTATAACGACACTTTTCTTATGCCCCGCCGAGTGTCGTTATAAGCGAAGTTGACTGTATAGAAAATGTGTGGGATTTGTGCTGATAATTTCCCTGTACACTGTACTGGTCAGTTCAGTTTGCATGAGCAGGCTGTGCCGGTCAGTTCAGTATCCGTGAAATCTGTGTCTAAGGCCCATAACGCAACTCTGTATGACCATGGGAGCATTTTGACATGCATATTGTGTTGCGGGTGCATGTTTGGATAATTAGAATGTCCGGATAATTAGAAGTTTTTTCGGGACATTTCGAGGTTCGAATTAACAGGGTTCCACCTGTATCTCAAATTGTTGTATCTAAACTTTTCAAGTGTGTGTCTTATCGGAGCAAGTCCCTGGTGAGTGGCACAGTACCTGATTGTGGTCTGAAAATGCACTGTGTTGGTATGCAGCTCTCAAGACTTTCTGCCCAGGCACAGATAAAGCCGTGTACAGCTGGATTGCTCTCGCCGGCTTGCCGAGTCATCCGCATGTTGACGAGCCAAGCCGCACGCAGAAGACCAATCTGAGGGAAGCCCGGCAGATGTGCAGGCGTCGGGGATACGACGTGGTCAAGTTTGTCGTCTTCACCACACTGGGGTATGGCGTGCGCCACTGCATGGAAGCATTGCTCCACGAGATGATGGCGAGCAGTTACAGCAGCCCTATCACCATATGGACGTCATTCGTGTACCACGGCCAGCATGTCATTTACAAGCAGGGCAAGAACAACTTAAGAGAAGCATTATTGGATAGTCATGGCACAAGCAAACATGATGTTATATGCGAAGGTAGGCTATTGCTTTGTGAGTGCTATCATTTTCAAGACTGAGTGGGTGAATGCGAGTCGGTGAATGCGAGTCGGTGAATGCGAGTGGGTGAATGCGAGTCGGTGAATGCGAGTGGGTGAATGCGAGTCGGTGAATGCGAGTGGGTGAATGCGAGTCGGTGAATGCGAGTGGGTGAATGCGAGTGGGTGAATGCGAGTCGGTGAATGCGAGTCGGTGAATGCGAGTCGGTGAATGCGAGTGGGTGAATGCGAGTGGGTGAATGCGAGTGGGTGAATGCGAGTCGGTGAATGCGAGTGGGTGAATGCGAGTGGGTGAATGCGAGTGGGTGAATGCGAGTGGGTGAATGCGAGTGGGTGAATGCGAGTGGGTGAATGCGAGTCGGTGAATGCGAGTCGGTGAATGCGAGTCGGTGAATGCGAGTCGGTGAATGCGAGTGGGTGAATGCGAGTGGGTGAATGCGAGTGGATGAATGCGAGTGGGTGAATGCGAGTGGGTGAATGCGAGTGGGTGAATGCGAGTGGGTGAATGCGAGTGGGTGAATGCGAGTGGGTGAATGCGAGTGGGTGAATGAGAATGGGTTAATGAGAATGTGTGACTGCTCAGTGGCAAGCAGCACATGAACAGTGCAGGGATAACACTATTAACAGGGGAAACAGAGAAACAACAACAGCAAGCGTGCCGCGCGAACCCAGGTTTACCCACTTCAATGGCAGACCTACCATTCTAAACGAAATTGGGTAACCGATCTACCTTCTCCTGGGATGGTACAATCCGCATGCTACTTTGTGTATGGAATGAAATTCCAACGGATGTATTATGACTGGCTTGTACTGTATGAATATTGCCCAAAGATCTACAGTTGCACTCAGTGAAATCCGACCCAACGTGCAAAACTGACCCCGGCCTGGACCAGTTTCCGATTACAGCACTGTGCTTGTGCATGTGCACAGCCAGCCGCATTCGTACCACTTCCACTTCCAGGGTGTCGAGGGCAGTGCAAGTCGACGGTGCCAGATGTACGCATTGAGTCGGATTTCACCGAGCTCAGCTGTGGTTTGAGGCTTTCCGGTTCAAGCGGCAGGCACTTTGTGCAAACTGTCCGGTCTACGTTTCTACAGGCTTTAGTAGCATGTGATTTTAGCTGTACACGTCGTGTCAGAGGGTATTTTACTATTCGTTGTTCATGATGTTGTTCATGCCACGGATCGATTTATTTGCGCATCTGCAGGCTTTTGTAACCACCCTGCCCTGAACTCAACCACGTCGTGAGAGATTGCTCTTCGGCAATCGTCAAACTGGCCGTCTATGATCGTGTTGTCTATCGTCGATATTTTACTACTTCCCGCAGGCGCTTAGCTCGTGTATAATCAGCGTAGTCTCATCATCCCACCAGCAAATGGCCGTCATGGGTACTATCAAGAGTAGATAAGAGTAAATTAATAAGCTCCCAAGAGGGTGTAACTATGTATATATGGGATCTTCGGCGGCAAAACTCACATCACGTGTCTCAGGTACCACGTACAAACCACGTACAAACGAAGGATAGCATGCCCGCAATCTGAACATCTGACATGATCATGCTGCCAAGTTGCATAAGCCCTGGGAGTTTGTGTCATTGAGTGCATCTTCATTGCGCCGCTGCTCGCTAAAACGCGCTGGAAACGTACAACTGGAACACTGCACCCAGTGATGTGAGTTTTCGCCGTCGGCAAACCCCATAGAAAGGGTATCAGGAATTAAACACTCTTGGGAGTTTAGAATACTCTTAGTACGACATTGTCAGAAATGGGCAATGAGTACGCGACGATGAGTTTGCCGGTGGTTCATGGTCACTCCACCGCAGAAGTACTCTGGCGGAAGGTCACCACACCACAGTCAGCTGTGCAAGCTACTCCCCTGTCCTGTGTAGAAGCACTGCGCGAGCGAAGCCATTCTTTTTTTTCTTTTGCTAAGAGCTTTCTTTTTCCATATTTTCTTTTCATCTGTGTCTCCTTTCCAAGTTTTCCCATGCCTGGGTTACTTGGACCTCGTTCGCTTCCTTGTCATTGGACATGTTCAATCCGTTCGGTTTTCCAATTCAAATAAACGCAACCAAGCCCCAGGCCTGCTGAAACAGAACCGTGCACTGTTTCCGGGCCTGGCTTTAATACTCATTAGATAGGATTTCAGTGAGCATGCCAGCAAATTGCAGTGAGCCCATTCTTTCACACCTGATTCCGGATGCGGTTAGTGTAAACATGTTCTCTGCTTGCGTCTGTACTTTCCCTCGTTTTGCAGCTAAATGGCTTCATGCTAACAACTCGGCATACGCCGTAGCGACACCGGCATCGGGGCATGCCGTCACTCACCATTTCGCAGAGGAGGCGTGTCAGCAGTACGGACTTCACCTCATATCCGAGGACTGGCTGCAAGCACATGGCCATGTACTAAGAGAGCGCTGGCTAAAGAGATTGGCTCTACAGCATAAGCCTCGGGACGCACCCTTCCACGTCCAACCAATCCGGGTGAACCGCCACACCCTCTACAGAACCGTAACATTTAGCAATTTAGAAAGTCAGTCGTTTCAAAACACCACAACACATCAGCGGGCGCGAATCCTCTGTGTCAGTAAGTGAGAGGTGTTATCAGTGGCTGTCCCTGTGTGTACCACCACCACCACCACCACGATGATGAATGCGGTTGTGTGTATCTGTGAACATGTCCCATATAAACACGTCTTGTGCCAACATGTGTCGTGCCGACATGTATTCTGTCAACATGTGTCTTGTCACGATGTGCCAACATGTCCTGTGGCAACAGACACACAACTGACAAGGATATTGAGACATTCGACGGCCTGAAACCTAGCTCTAACGCATCTACGAAGCGCAAACCAGCAACCTTCCAACTTGGAAGGCTCAGTGTCTCAATATTCTTGTCAGTTTTGTGCCTTGCAGTCGCACTATCTGACTCGTTACCTTGGTGGACTGTTAGTCATAGCTAGTAACTTAGGCCACACGTTTTTATTTCTATGTTTCTCGTCACCTGAAAATCTAAAAACGTATGCGAGAGGTGGGAAAAAATGACCGAGAAATAAAAAAAAGTTTATTAGACCTTTGTTCACACTAAAATCCATCAATGCACCTGCAAAATAGCATCCATAGTTAGCAACTAGTCTGTGGTAGGAGTTCTGTCACAATATGTGCATGTGCAGCAATAAAAAATGCCGTCCTTGCATCATGTGTCGCGCAGGCCAGGCCACATTATGTGCATGTGCATGAGTGTGCTGGTCCCCACATGCACAGTCCGTGCAGCACAGTTTTTTTTCTTTTTTTCTTCCAGACTCCTGAATCGTATGCGCGCGGGTGACGAGAAACATAGAAATAAAAACGTGTGGCCTTATAGGTCCTTTTCTCTTTACATATTACTTTTGGCTCAACATCCGAGTTTTTTTTCAAGACGAATTATTTCTCTTATGTGATGGGAGGGATTGACCGATTTCGTTTCAGAACACATTGAAACGTGTCCAGGGAAGTAGGAGCATTGACACACTTGTGATGTGTGTTGTATATGCATGTAAATGTCAACACTTTCTCACGTTCTGAGGGGAGGGGATGTGGGTGGGGTTGGGTTGAAACAAAATTGATGCGTTTTGTGATAAATACCGATACTTACGGCCGGTCCCTAACATCCCATGCATTTTCTCTGTGTCTGACTGTCACATGCATCTTGTTTGTGCGTATGCGATGGCTGCTGCAGCATGCAACTGTTTGAACCAGGGTCAGTGTGACGACAAGGGCAAATGCATCTGCCCGAAAGGATTTACCGGGAACAAGTGCCAAACGGGTAAGTATAAATGAATTTTTTTTACAGTGCGTATGGGATTCTCAAAGCATACCTCCATGTTGACATGGCATCCCCTGACTGTGTGTGTAGGCTTTGGGACTAGTGCGAGTGGCCTTGATTGTGCAGGGCTTGTCATCGTTTCGACTGTGAGTGAAAGTTGACGGAACGAGTATATGGTTTCATCAAGTTCTTGTTCGAAATTGGAACACAAAACACAGGTGCATCACCAAACCTGCTATTTTCCTGATGCCTTATTTGGACACCTCTTTACACACCTGCCTCCACCACATCAGGCATCGCTGTTGTTTTCCCCCGCATGCTGCTGCTGGGTTCACTAAACTTCACTGCTTATCACCTGCCTGCTCAACCACAAAGTAAAACCGGGAAATTTCGGTGGTGTAATATTTTCGGTATTTCCCAAAATCAACGATGCGTTAGAGTGAGAGTTTCGGTGAACGAGTTTTCCAGATCCAAAAATGCACCTTGTACACTGTGTGGCATGGCATGGTCGCGTTTCTTTTCAGCTAACAATCACCTGTCTTGAAGTTACCGAACAAAGTATCCACCGAGATATTTCTAGTTTTTGAGTAGTCTATGTGTTGTATTACATTATTTTCTGCACCTACAGTTGCGTGCTCGGTGACGGCCCACCCAGAGTGCATGTTTGTGCGGGAGACGCACAGAAGTACGGTTGTACGATTTCTCGATTTCAACCCCCCCCCCAGGGGAGGGCTGAAATCAACCCGGGGCAAGCGCAATGCGTCGTATAAACATGCCAGTCAATCTGTGTTCATTGCGGGTTGAAACTTGACCCGGGTTGAAACGCCTCATGTAAACACAGCCTCACAGCAGCAGGGGAAACGGCTGTAGATACTAGATACATGCTTGCTTGGCCGCACAATGCACACAGACATCTACGAGTATAGTGAGGTGTGTACAAGGTGGCAAGCGGACCAAGCTCGGGCACGAACTACTGGGTATTGAGATGAATCCTAAAATCACCCGCTCCTTTTCGGTAGATGTGACGGTGAGAAGTCGTCGGCAAAGCAGTCATCGATGCTGCAGCACGTTGCTGTGAAGCCCGCGGCAAAGCAAATGTCTGCGTCGACTGCCAAAGAAATCACCGGCAGTCTGACTGGCTGGCTTGTTCGTGATCTACAGCCGTTGTCGATCGTCGACGATGTCGGGTTCCGTGACCTGATGGGACGGGTATCGCCCGGTTACGTGATTCCGTCGAGGACTCGCGTCTCCAAGCTGATCGGGCAGTGCCACACCACTGGTCTCTCTGCCCTTACGAGTCGATTGAAGTCCGTCTCTGGCTGCTGTCTAACGACGGCCGCGTGGACATCGAAGGCCACGCAGTCGTATAACACGGTAACTATGCACTTTGTGACCGAAACTTGGGAATTGGAGAGCGCTGTTGTCGAGACTGCTCTCTTTCCAGGCTCCCACACCGGCGTGAGGATCGCGGAAAAGGTATCGGATGCAACGAAGAGAGTGGGACTCAAGCCTGCTCAGGTAATGGCAGTGGTGCACGACGAAGCGAGAAATGCGGAGCTTGCTGGTCGACACCTACTTCAAGATCATGGCTGGGAGTCAGTGACCTGTTCTGCCCATCTCCTTCAAACGTGCGTGCGACATGTGCTTGAAGATTCAGCTCCTGCACAGAAATTGTTGAGTGCTGCCAGGAAGTTGGTTGGGCACTTTCGCCTTAGCAGTCAAGCAACAGAGGCTTTGCTTGCAAAGCAGGTCCAGATGGAGAGCACCTCACCTGTAAAACTGACCCAGGATGTACCTACGCGTTGGAACTCTGCACATGACATGCTGAAACGTCTGGTTGAGCTACGACTTCCCGTCATGGCTGTACTGACTGCTCCAGGTAAGCAGCATTGTGTCATGGTATGATTTGTATGCCTAGTTACTATACCTTTGCTATTGCTGTGACGGGTTTGGTGGGATTGAGCTGTTACATCGTGAGTCGTGACTTGTTCTTTGCGCTTGAAATAGAATTGTTTCGTCCTATCTGGTTTGCCAGGTTAAAGTCCTGTTTTTGTACTTTGTTGACTGCCACAGGCCAAAATCGGAACTTGCTCTTGAAGGATACCCAGTGGACACTAGCCGAGCAGCTGACAGCAGCCCTGGAACCACTGAAAGCAACTACAACAGTATTCGGCGGCCAGAAGTATGCCACCTCTTCTCTCGTGCTGCCTGTTGTGGCCAGTCTTATCGAGAGGTACTCTGAGCCTGTGGAGGACACCTGTGTTCGTGCTGTGGAGAACATCCGTGCTGCACTTGTGTCAGAGTTGCAGGTTAAATTTCGTCTGTCAGACGTGACATCGGCATCCCCCCTCGTGCTCGCTGCAGCTTTGGATCCCAGGGTCCGTGGCCTAAAGTTCACGTCCCATGTCCTGTGTAAGCCGGATGCTATCAAGGCTACACTAGCTGAGGAGATGAAGAAGCACACCTCTCAACCACCTTCTGTTGTCGCGCAGGAACCGCAAGCGCAAGCCCGAGGACACAGGCCTTCAAGCTCTGCTGCATGGAGCCGTGTACGATGCCACAGCTGTGGAGAGTGAATCGCCTGCCCAGGAAGTAGCACGGTACTGCAGTGAGAGGATGGAGGGCATTGAGATCAAACCTCTGGATTGGTGGAAGTGCAATTCCACCAGGTTTCCTGGTCTTGCTGTCCTGGCTCAGAGGTATCTTTCTATCACAGCTACATCAGTACCGGCTGCGCGTGTGTTCTCTGCTTGTGGCGTTCTTGTCAACAAACTTCGCTCGTCCCTGGCACCATCATCCATTGACGCTATGATCTTCTTGGCGAAAAACCAAATCACAGTTGCACCAGAGCAAGCCGAGGAGGAGGAGGAGGAAATGCCAGCGCTGCCTAACCTGGCTGCCGTGGAGTGCCAGCTTGTTGTCAGTGGCTCAGATTCAGAGCTATCTGGGACCAGCACTGACTCTGATTCTGATGCCTCTGAGTGACACGTAAAATTATGAACACTGAATAGTACACTATATGAGTACACTATAATATGCTTGAAGTTGTAGTCACTTACCGCCAGTCTCTCAGAATTCTCTTTACGTTTTCCATTCGTCCCTTCGCCCCATTATACCGTCACAGCTGCTGCCTGCCCCGCGCATTTCAAACTTGATCCTCTTGACATATAGCAGCCACCATATCCGGTCGTTTGAAAAAGTGCTTGAAAAATGTGAAAAATTGGCGTGTTGGATATTATATAATAAATATTATAGTATTGCAGATGGCCACAAGCTGTATAGGTCCGGAGGTCAATCGTCTCGCGCTGGCGTTGCCATCCTCGTCAACAAGAAATTTTCAAATAATGTTCTGTCGTACCAGTTCCACTCTGACCGAGTTGTATCTGTACGAATGGTACTCAGCCCGCGACCTGACAGTCGAGCTGTCACGGTCGTGTGCTGCTATGCCCCAACTCTTCAACGATCCACCATCAACCCTCAGGAAGCTGACAACTTCTACGAACTTCTCAACAATGTTGTATTGAAAACGAAGAACCGTGACGAATTATGGATATTAGGAGATTTGAATGCTAAAGTTGGGAGTTCGAGGCCGGGATCTGTCAGCCCTGTTGGATGCTACTCTAAACACACTACATCAAACTCAAATGGATGCAGACTTGTAGAATTTTGCGAGGACAACCGGCTGGTGCTAACCAACACACTGTTCAAGCACAGGATGCAACATCGCTCAACATGGTTTTCTGATGGTTTAGTGCATGCGGATGGAAAGCCTGTGCGGAATATGATAGATTACGTGATAGTAAAACGTTCCACCATGGCCGCGGTTCTAGATGCAAGATCGTTTGGAGGCTTCACCACGCGCTCTGATCATCACCCTGTTATTGCAGTTCTTGGCATCGCACTTTCTAAAGTCCATCCGACCGTCAAACAACAAGACCCATGTTTCAATCGCTATAACCTTCCAACCGTTGAATCGTCGAAACTGTTCTGCGACCGTCTCAAGGAGAAGTTACCTTCTCTGCTTCCACTCTCCGCAAACATCGACAATGACTCCGTGGATAAGGCGTGGCGTGGATTCGTCTGGGCTACGCATGATGCAGCGCAGGATGCATTCCGGAAAGTGCCCACTGGTTCTGCTCCGAAAGCAAGCACGAACCCTCGCGTTGCATCCTTATCCACTGAACAGAAGAATCTGCACTGCCGCATAAACGCTGAACCTGATCCAGAGCAACGTAAAGCTTTAAAGATTGAAAGATCTGCAAAACTCCACGAGATTCGAAGGATACTACAGAAGGAGGGCGAGCAATATTGGCAACGTAAGGCTGTTGAAGTAGATGCTTTACGCCCTGACCCACGGTCCTACTTCAACGCCATCAACAACTTACGCCAACTACGCTCTGGGAAGAAGGCTGCGCCTGTGCGTCTTGCTGACGCAGACGGCAGAATCATGGCAGGCATCTCATGGAATCTTAATGCCTTTAATGAATATTATGAATCGGTATTTTACACTGATGGCCAGCCACTCGACCTCAGGCAGCAATCGAATGAGGAAGATCCATTCACAATCGAAGAAGTACGGTCTGCAATTATCAAGCAGAAGTCTGGTGGTGCTGTCGGTCCTGATGGTATCAGTGCTGATGCTTTGAAGTCAGCTAAAAACCTTTTCGCACCCTGGCTGACGAATTTCTTCAACGCTGTTCAAGCTACAGAGTACTGTCCTGACGACATGCGCTGCGGCCTCATCGTTCCCATCTACAAAGCCGGCAAGCCTCTAGGACATCCAAAAAGCTACCGCCCCGTTATGCTCCTTTCCGTCGTCCGTAAGATCTTGACGTCAATACTCACCCGACGACACACACTCCATGTGCAGTCATATGTGGCAGAGAGCCAAGCTGGTTTCCGCCCTGGCAGATCGACCACGGATGGTGTCTTTTACGCCAGGACGATGTGTGAGCGCGCACTACTTGGCGACTGGTCGTATTCATCGGCACTATTGGACTTCAGCGGTGCGTTTGACACTGTCATTCGTCAGGTTGCTCTGGAGAGGTTAGCCACTGCTGGCGCACCAACGTCCACCACTGCAGTCCTAGTATCAAACACAACAGCCCGCACGAAGCTTGGTAAACAACTAAGCAAACCATTTCCAACAAACATCGGCGTCGTCCAGGGTGACCCAATGTCACCAATAATGTTTATAACTTACGCCGAAGGTTCCATGCGTAAGATCCGAGAGCAAGCTCTACCCGCGTCAGACCTACCAGCAACTTTCACACAATACGCAGACGACACCACTGCCCATCAGAACGAGCGATCATCTGTGGAAGAAACCGTCCGTGTGTGTGAACCCGTTTTCTCGGATGACAATCTGAAGCTGAACGTGGCAAAAACTCAATATTTCACTGTGACCAAGGAAGATGATTCCTGGAAATCCGTGAAGCTGCTGGGGAGTATGCTAGGCACAGCAGAAGACATAGCAGCCAGAGTGTCTGCTGCAAATCGGGCATTTGCAAGCATTCCATGGAAACGCCACAACCTGAATTCCAGGCTGTGTATGTTTTCCTGCCTGATATTGCCTGTCTTGCTGTATAATTGTGCGCTTTGGACCTTATCGCAAACATTAACCGACGTCGTCAATGTATGGCACCGGAAAAAACTACGTACCATCATTGGTATCACGTACCCACAACGAATCTCGAACACAGCGCTGTATGCCAGAACCGAGCAGACCCCACTATCTCAAGTCTGCAGGCAACGGAGACTGCTGTGGTTCGGCCATGTAGTGAGGGAAGGCGAAGAATCGTCCTCGTTCCGTTGAAGCCCTCCTAATGTCAATCAACACAACAGACATACGACGACCCCGAGGACGACCACGTCTGAGATGGATCGACGTTGTCAAGAAAGACTTACAATGCATTAATGCATGAGCCATGCAACCATGACTTACAGGGAACGTCCCCTTTCTTGGGCATGCTGTTCACAGACGTGCTCGCCTCACACGCAATTTGTAAAAAAAAATGGTCGTATCTGCGGTTCGCTCTTTGGCGCTATTACCGTCCTCGATATCGGAACAGTCCCGGCCAAAAGCCATATGGTTGGTAGGTATCCTGACCACTCAGCTATGGATACGGTCACGTGTGCATAAATGGATACGGTTAAGTGTGCATACACGGAATTCGCGAAACAACTTCGTAGCACATCCTGTGGTGCTGCGCTGTAGGACTGTTTGCCAGGATGGTTCATGTGCAGTGCGCGCACAGAAAGACCGGAAGGTGTGTGCGGATTGGATCGCGTTTTCCAGTTTGAATTTTCTTCACATCGCGGATGTTCAAGCTGGGGAGGTAGAAGAACAGAGGTTCGGATATTCAGGGGTTTTCAGCCCTAACGCAAACGCAATTTCACGAGAGTTTTTAAAAAAACCTCAAAACAGCTCCTGAAAAGAGTTTTGAGTAATAATGATAAGGTGGCGAAGACATAACTTAAAATACCCGGAGAAATGGTGGTAGCTACTAGATACTACATAAACAAGAGTGCCCAACTCCGGATCTATCCTGCACAATCTGCAGATACCCCCGCCCACGGCGGAATTTTTTGTTGACGTCACCTTTCTTCAGAGACACGCGCATTTTGCCGCAGAGCAGTGTGAGAGCACGTGCTGGGCACTGACCTTGTAGTGGAAGTCCGGCCATGAGCACGAGGGAAAACTTTCCGAAAGACTCGCAGCGCGTGCGTCGTCGAAGAGATTACTTCAACAAATTATTCCGCCGTGGGCCTACCCATCCGCGAGTTGCACACTCTTGTTACTCTTGTTATCTACTCTTGTTACTAGATACACGATGCACACAGACATTTACGAGTATAGAGAGGTGTGTTTAAGGTGGCAAGCGGACCAAGCTCGGGGACAACCTTCCGGGTTTTGAGCTGACTGCATAGGCAGGAGCACCGGTGACCTCAGAGGTGAGGAAATTCCTCTTTTTCGGCGCCATCTGTACCGTAACTTGTAAGTGTTCTCCTCTCAAACATCACCCTGAGCACTATGAGTTCAGGAGAGCAATATGGAACAAAATAAGTGAAGATCTAAAGTCAAAATGTTGGTGGGTTTCCATAGTAATTTTTGAAATCAGATTTTACGAAGCGGGGATGGTATGCTGTTGTCTGCTTTGCTGAGATGCTTGTGTGTGTCCTCTCTGTTTCTCCGCAACAGAGATCAACGAGTCGAGTACAGGATCCGCTAACACTACCCAGGCTGCTACACCCACGACCAGTGGAATAACCAAACCAACGAGCGACCCAGCCACAACCACTCCAACCGAAGTCGGTGATGAACAGTGGAGTATTTTGTAATTGTAACTAGATACTCATAAACCGGGGGGAATACTACCGACAGCAAGAGTAGATAAACAAGAGTGTGCAACTCCGGATCTCTCCTGCACAATCTGCAGATACCCCGCGCCCACGGCGGAATTTTTTGTTTACGTCACCTTTTTTCAGAGAAACGCGGCTTTGCCGCAGAGCAGTGTGAGAGCACGTGCTGGGCACCGACCTTGCAGTGTAAAGCCCAGCCAAGTGCACGAGGGAAAACTCTCCAAAAGGCTCGCAGCGCGTGCGTCGTCGAAAAGATTACGTCAACAAAAAATTCCGCCGTGGGCCAACCCATGCGGAGTTGCACACTCTTGTTTATCTACTCTTGCCGACAGGACTAACCTGGTGCCCTTCCACTTACCCACCCATCTTCGATGGCATCCACAATTCGGTCCAGGAAACTCGACAGAGCGTTTCCAGGACGTGAGGAGCCTGGCTAACCAAGTGTGTTTCCAGTCCTGATAATTTCCTCACATTGTAAATTTCAAATCTGCAATTTCAGATCAGTGAAAATCTGAGGCAGACTGATATCCCATAACCCGCTACGGCTGAGTAATTATGTCGTATTTTAATTAGTAATTATGCATCTATTATTTGCAAGATGATGAGGGCAATAATAGATTTATCCCGACATAGCATACTTTAACTGGTTCAGCTTTGTTGTTGTGTATTGTACTAGCACATAGTATATACATAAGTCGTCTACATTACTTCTCTACAAACATATGTTTTCAGTTGTTACGTTTAATGTGTTCCCCAAGTTCTTTGACTGAGATTCTGGCAGTTTGCGTTCAAGTCGTTTGGCTTCAGATTTTTCTTCTTTCATTTCTAACTCTTGTTTCAAGTTGAGGAAAAAGTTCTAAATCCTTGGACTTTTAAGCTGTGTTCACAACTGGTGTGTGTACGCGTGAAACCACGCGTTTGCGCGTATTTTTGCAGGCAGGCATAGTGGGATGGTCTAAGACCATGATTGAGAAACAGAGGGTACCAGGTTCAAGTCCTGCTTGGAAGCGGAAGGAATTTTTCCAGCCGTGCTGCAACCCACAGTCATAAATCCGGCCAGGTCCGGGCAAGTTAATGACGTCATCATGATGTCACCAAATTTAGTGCAAAAAAATTCAGAACATTTTTCGGACAGGCCTAGACAGCAGGGTACATGTACTGTGTGCAGCAGAGATAAGCAATGCTGTGATTGCACGATATATTAGTAAGAGTGGCCAAGCACACACTTAACTTATAGCAGATATTGTGGGGTACTTAGGTTGTATTTGCGAGCTACATGTATTCCCCCCCCCCCCCCGCCCCGCCAAACACACACACACACACACACTCTGCCTCTCTGTCTGTCAGTCAGCCTGTCTGTATGTCTGCCTGGCTGCCTGTCTGCCTGTCTCTCTGTGTCTGTCTGTCTGCCTGTCTATCTGTCGCTCTCGCACACAGACACACACACACACACACACACACACACGCACACACACGCACACACGCACAGAGCCGGACGCCACTGTAGTGGCAGGTACGGTAAAAAGTAAATAAAGTACTTCAAAGTAAAAAGTACTACAGTATAATATTGGGTAAGTTTGACAAAGGTAATGAACATAACATTGTTATGTTCACACACAGAAGCAAAAGAGCTTGCAAAATATGTTCCACTGATCTGTCCCCTTGGAAAAACGCGATTCCGCGGCCGCGGCAAATTTCGCAGAAGTTGCCATCATCCGCGGAAATCACGGAATCCACACTTTTGCCCGCGGAATCTGAATTTTTTTAGGGTAAATTACTAAAATTACTACTCAGAAAGCAGCAGAAAACTACTTTGCGATCAGTTTGAGCACATTTCTCTTGCCAGTGCAGGTCTCTCCAAGATTCTTCACTCTTATTCAGTTTGTGACTGCAAAGGATAGTATGAAAGTGCTCCTTCATGCGACTAGTTGTCATATCCTCTACGAGGAGGGTGAAAAACTTGCAGAAAGTGCCGCAGATTTTTGATTTTACAGCAGAAATGCGCGGAAAACCCCTCTTTTCCCCGCGGAATTTGCCGCAGAATTTTGAATTCTTGGCCGCGTTTTTCCAAAGGGACAGACTGATGAATATAAAAATTTAAAATATGTTTAAAAATTCCTCGGTCCTCCTCAGAGAGTCGTAAGAATCAGAAAAGAACCCTACAGCTAGAAACGATTGGAAAAATAATTTTGTACTTCTAAAAGCAATAATTGGAAAATGAGGGGAAATGAATTTTCTTATCATGTTATCGTGACTGTGATCAAGTATCCTTATTAGGGTATTCGCAAGCGTGATACATCAGCATCATTGTAGTTATCATAAACGTGCGTGTCCGTTTAGGGCGCTGTGAAGAGTATAAACGAAGTGGCATGAATCGGCTGGAAACACATCCTTGAGCTTGAAGAAACAAAACACATTCCAGTTTAGTTTCCCTAAGAAAGTATAGTTAGAGTGGTGAACTTTTAAAGCACACTTTTTCCAGTCCCCCAATCGATATCGAGGAGAATGTCGCTGCATTCAAATCTATGTATGAAGTCAGAGCCCAGTGCGTTCTAGAGCTGGTGGCTCGACTTCCTCTCCTGGCATTCTAGTGCATGGGCGTGTGCGCAGGTGAGTATGTGTGCGCGCGCGTGCGTGTATGTGTGTGTGTGTGCGTGCGCGCGTGTGTGTATGTGTGTGTGTGTGTGTGTTTGTGCGTAGGTGAGCGTGTTCACGCTATTGCATACACCACCGGGCTGTCGTGCCACAGCGGAGAGCGCATACTGGCCAAAGCCTGCTGGCGCGTCATCGTCGTCGCTTTGAGGAACACAGCTCTTGGAGGTTCCGCGACCCCTACGGAGACCGAGGGGTCTGTGTCGTTGCTAGGAAACTAACCATAGCATAGTAACCATAACAACTATAATGACTGCTCTCGGACGTAGCTAGTAATTCCGCTGTCAACTCGCTCACGGATCACCGCATGGAATACCCGAATAGGGAGAACTCGACGTGATGCGAGTTCTGCTGTACTAGCAATCGACGCACTGCTTCGTGAATGCGGAATGGCAGTTGCTGCACGGTGAGCAAGTGACCCTGCGGCGAAGCCGTGACAGCCGGCACGCACGGGAAGCTCAACGGAGGGGCATTGACCTCACCATCATACCGGCTTGGGGCGTCCAGTCGGCTCCGTTTGACCTCAGCCCTGCTTGGTTCACGGCTAGCATTGGCCAGAATTTGTTGTCAAACGCTACGCGTTGCGATATGCTTGTTCATCTTGCTGTAAGTTCTCGGCAGGGCTGCCGTGGCGGCTGCAGGTTCCGCAGGCCATTACTCGTCGTGGTGAGCCGTCGGCGCAGAGGTAGCCTTAGAACGCGCTGTCGAGTCACTAGCTCCCTGGATCGATCTGCAGACAACATGGGGATACACATATGAATTATGCACACCAAGAGACATACAGACATACAGACATACACACATACATCAAGCAGGAGCCTAATTCTCCACTCGAGGGGGGGGGGGGGTGTGTGAGGAGGGGGTCAATATCGCAAGTTGACTGACATTGCACATATACGCGTACAGGCATGCACTATTCGTCGTCCAGCATAGCTCGCTGCGTTCATTTTGGAAGGCGGGGAGGGTTCCGGGCACGAAAAGAACAACGTTAGTTTCAGGGACGACAAAACACCTTTGCAACAAACCCTTTTATAAGACGAAGGGGCACACATACAATGGACTCTGTGATGCGGCGATTGCTTAGAAAAGGAGAACACAAAGGCGTTTTGCTTACCGTAGACACTGCGGGTGCGGACTGCCGCTGATAGCGGAGACGGTACTTGCTGTCGGGGCGGCGGAAAGAGCGCGACAAGGACGGAGGGACGGACGGAAGGGAATCCTGGCTGGAGGTACGGCGACGTGACGCGGTGCTGCAGCTGCTGCGTTGTTGTTGCCATGACGTCATGCTGTTACGACTGCTGAGATAGCCGGGGTTGCAGAGGAGAGAGGTGGTCCACTCAACCGTACCGCCGCCGATGGCCTGGTGATGGTGTTCCTCGTCGCCGCTGCTGCGTACGGCCTTCAGCAGCGTGTCCACCGACTTGTGAATGTCGTTCTCGCCGTCATCGTCGTAGTCGGTGTTCTCGGTGGTGTCGCCCCGCGCCGTCGCGTAGCTGCCATCACGCTCGTCCTCGCTGCTTTCCTGATGATCGGACGACCACTCGGAGGAGTCGTGTTGTTGCAGCAGCGTGGTGACCACTGTGTCCGCTATGCCAAACGTACAGCCAAACGTGGGCAAAGAAGCATTGGGCAAAGAAGCATCGGGCAAAGAAGCATTGCCCGCAGCAGCAGCAGCAGTAGCGGCGGTGCTGCTGATGCGACGGTGCCAGCTGAACGACTGCGTGATCGACTCCGGCGTGAAGATGACGCTGCTGTGCCGCGATATCGTCATCGGCATCGTCCAGTCGTCCATCGTCAGTGGCATCAGCGGCGAGCGCGACAGCCTGCGGCCAAGCGTCGGCAGCGGAACAGACAGGTCGTAGTCGGGAAACTCGGCCGACATGACCGAAGAACGTGACCTCAGGTCACCCACGGCGTTGGGCAGTGACGACACTGCGTCTGGCTCCAGCAGCGACAGGCTGGACAATTCAGCACCGCAGGCACTGGTGGGGGGTATGCAGTCCGCGTGATTGTCGCCGCCGGCCAAATCCTGCTCCGCCAGCGCCCCGTCGACGTTGATCTGCGCCACGCTGCCCAGCCGGTACAGAGGCGACATGGGCAGCTGAGGAAAGTCCTGCAGCTCCGTGGAGTTCTCCAGCGAGACGGAAACGCCTTCGGCCAACGTGAACACACACGGTATGAGAACGTCGGACGCGACCGTTTTGAGCCCCTCGGCTTCGGACTCGCTCGATGTGTCGGTCTCTGGGTCTGTCTCCGCGTACAGTTCTATTCCGTCGAAGCTACTCATGTCAATGCTGGGGTCGTATTGGTACGGGGAATTGAGCAGCGAGAAGATGGTCTCCTTCGTCCGCTTGTTCTCGCGATTGGCGATGAGCTTTTGCTGCAGCGGACACGGAGAGCCAAAGACGATCACACGCAGGTTCGAACATGAACACACAAGCAGGTGCACACATGTGCACACAAACATACACACACACGTGTGCACAAACACACGTGCACATACACACGTGCACATACACACACATGTGCGTGCGCGCGCGCGCACACACACACACAACACACATATTTTGTTTAATTTCATTCACATTGCTTTCGGACACATGAGAGCAGTGGCCTGAGGGCGGAATAGGTACTGGTGGTCGCCTCGTGTCGGCTGGCTTACGCAGGCACCGCACGAGGTACGGAATCCTGGCAAGACCAGGTAGGGATGACCAACGTGGAGAGTTCCTGATTGCGACTGATTTTCGTGGCCTTTCCCAATTCAGTGCTTACAAGACAAAACCTGACCGAAATCCTATTCTTGTCATGGCTTGCTTTCAGAGAAATGGACTTCAGAAACATAATTGGAATGGCATCCCATGGGGGATTGCAGAATTATTTTGTGAAAAACTCAAAATTTGACCCATTATTGGCCAAAAGCTAGGATATCATCTTTTTCTGAATGGACCGTAATAATTGCACAAAAGAAATCGGCAACGTTTAAGTCTCACTTGGAGTGACCATTGCTCAATTCCTCAAGGCTCAACTCACAACAACTAATAGGGTGACCGAAGTCACACAGTTTTCTTGTTTGCTTCCAGAGGAAGTGCATGCACACTCGTACCTATTTCCAAATATTTCGGCTCAGCCACCCCCCTCGCCATGAGTAAACTTGTACAGTAAAGTATCGTTGATCCCCCCTCCCCCCCCCCCCCACGCTGGGTCGCTTCACAGCTGGTTTTTTCGGCAGGGGGCGGAAATTAGATCAAGTCGCTCATGCGCAGTACGATGTACAAGAAAGCAGAAGATCAGACCTGGAATGCTGGACTGCTGGATTGTGCACATTTTCATCCTGCACTCGACCTGGAATGCTGGATTGTGCACATTTTCATCCTGCACTCGACCTGGAATGCTGGATTGTGCACATTTTCATCCTGCACTCACACATTATTGTGTACAGCAATACATGCGTCGGTTCAACATCGTATTTCGTTCGTAGTCGCTTCACAGGCAGAAATTCGACAGGGGGGCGGGAATTAGAGAGGGGCGGATCAACGGTACTTTACGGTACTTCAGATGGCTGACCGTACCGCACTAAAATTCGTTGGAAGGTAAGATATCCGGACACCGAAGTTACAGGCACTTATATCGGTGATATCATAGGCCAGGGGTATCTGGCCCGTTCCCCGGCTAAATGTACGTGACTCGGAGCTGCGGGCATTTCAAAGTCACGGGCGGTGCGGCCCAGTCCAGGACCGCCCGGATAAACCAGGTTTTTTCTTCTTCTTTTTTTATTACTATTATTCACAAACCCAACTCGTAAAACGAGAGAGCTTGGAAGCTCAGGGCCGGCCCTACGCTATGCTTTTTTGCCTTGATGACCTAGACAAAAAAGCATAGGGATGTTATAAATTCTTATAAGTTTCCACTTTGTGTTTTTAGACATACCGTAAAAGCCAGTGTATACGCCCACTCAAAATTACGCCCACCCTCCGTGTACACGCCCAGTCAGGGGAAGTCAACACTTTTGTTTCAAAATAGCGCCCATGCCCATGTATACGCCCAGGTATGCCGGAAACACCAGTACATGTACAGGTACTGATACCCAATACTTACGGCTATCCCTATTCCAAGTATACGCCCGGTTCCAAAATAACGACCGTGCCCTTGTAAACGCCCAGGAAATCGAGGCTGCTATTCTATACGCCCGGGGGCCTATACACGGGCTTTTACGGTAACCTGGTATTCGAACCCGCACTATCGCCCTGCATGCATCCCCCGATACACTTCGCATACATACTAAATTCTTCCAAGTTGCTTCACGTTATGATCTTGTATTTGAAAGCCCTATTTGAATATGCATTGCGGCCAGCCGTCTTTGATTGTACGGTACGGGATAGGTAGGGGACAGGTACGGTCGAGGGTAATACGACACTGTCTACCGCCTTGATGACGGCAAAAAATTAAAAGGGATGTTATAAATTTTTCAATTCTCTTATTTTTTCAGGCGCTACCTGGGGCTCGAACCCGCACTATCGCCCTACATGCATTCCCCCATACACTTCGCATTCATACTCATTCTTCCAAGTTTCTTCACATTATGATCTTGCGTTTGAAAGCCCTATTTGAATATTGCGGCCAGCTGTATGTGGCCAGCTGTGTTTGATGGTACGGTACGGTACGGGACAGATACGGGATAGTGCCAGGCGTTAATGAAGTAACGTCTTCTGCATAGCTACGGGAATAAATCATTATGTGTACATGTGTTTGAGTGTAGTGGATATGTATCAGTCAGTAGTACCAAGAGTACATAACCCCCCAGAGTGTGCAACTCGACTATGGGTGCTGTCCCGACAGAATTTCAAGTTGACGTCATTTTTATGATGCAATGCGCACTGTACACGGATTATCAGACGAATCCGGAACCTGTGGTTGACCAAAGCCGATCTGATCCTGTACAAAGTGTTGCAAAGAAAAACGTGTGATGTGTTGACACCCGTACAGATGTTGTAAATCACTGGTGCAAGGAGCATTGCGTCATAAATAATGACGTCAACTTGAAATTCTGTCGGGACAGCAGGGTATGTGGGAGTTGCACACTCTGGGGGGTTATGTACTCTTGGTAGTAGTACTCACCTTGAAGGGCTTCAGCGCCTTCTGCGCCAGCCGGGGTCCGCGTCCCTTCAGCATGACCTGCGTGGAGATGCCCAGCTTGGAGGTGAGATTGCCGACGGAGTCGCGTCGCACTCGCCGACTGCCCGCCAAGCTGCCGCCGGTGGCCACGCGGCTTCGGCCGTCGTTGCTCAGGCTGCCGGCGCTGCCTCGCGCCGAGCTGCGGACGCCAGCAAAGCCACCGCCGCTGCTGCCACCGCTGCCGCACTCTGACCCAGCCTGGCTGACGTCGCAGCCAGCCGTCTGGCCCTTGGCAGGAGACATGTAGGTGTCTGCGACCGTGCTGCTCTCGCGAGGGTGCCCACCGCCGTGCTGCGTGCCAGTCGAGCTGTCGACCGTGCCGCTGCTGCCGTCGCAGGACGGAGCTAGGCTTACCGTCGCCTGGGCCGGCGTGGGCGTCATCAGCGGGAGGTCGGCAGACGGCGGTTTCGCCGCGGTTGCCGTGCCCAAGGCGTCGGTACTGGACACCGAGCGCTCCAGCGACGCGCCGTCGTTTGCGTCGTGGCCGGAGTGTCGCGGTGGTGACATGCTGCGTAGCTGACGCAGGCCGCCCAGCTTTCTCAGCAGGAACGACTGCACGCCGTCGGAGCGGTGCGACTTGGTCTTCTCCAGTACCGCCGCTCTGGACTGCTTGGGACTGATGTTGCCGGCGGCGACGGCGCCGTCGACCGGATAACCAGTGGTGGCGGCCACACATATGTTGGGCAGGGAGCCGACCCCCTTCTCGATGCGGTTCACTCGGCGCCTGGTACTGCCGCTCAGGCTGCGGTGGCGGATCTGCGAGGCGGAGAGCAGCGGTGCCTTGCCGCTTACCGTGCCGCCCGCTTTGCTTGTTGCTGCCGTGTACGTGCCGGATCGTCTGGACGAGCACGCTGGCTTGAGCGACGGCGAGGAGATGCTTCGCGTGGCGATGGTCACCTTGCGGCACGCCGCCAGGTCGCTGTCCGTGCTCGGGGTCCGGGAGATGGTGGCCAGCTCGTCCCTGCTGGACAGGCACTCGTCCAGCATGGCCGGGAACGGCTGCTCGTGGATGCGCACCTGTGGCAGCGCGAGGCTGGGTTCGCTGCGAACGTGCCGCGTCTCGCCCTCCGTCAGCTCTTTCGTGGAGTTCTTCCCGTCGTCGTCGAACGGAGACTTCGGCGTGCTGCCGTCGGTTGTCGTTGTTGGCGACGGGCGTTGCGCGAGCGGACTTTCGTAGCCGCACGCCGACGCGTCGAGCTCAGAGCCGCTGGCGCAGATCTTCAGCTCGGGCAGGGACCTCGGCACGCTGGCTGCTGAGCAGGGCAAGGGCAGTTCCCCCCTGGCGGCGGGGTCCGTGTGAACCAGATTGGCCCCTGTAGGGCCGTGAAGGAGCTGGACGTAGTCGACATTGGAGAACAGATTGAGGACGTCGGACTCCAGAACGCGCGACGTGGCAGCAACCAGCGGGCCACTTGTGGAAGGACACACCGACACCGTGGTTCTGTCCTCGGCCATGTCCGATGGATCGGCACAGCTTGCTCTCGCGTCCTCATCCGGAATTGCGCCGAAGCCGCCAGGCAGTGACGCAGCAGCAGCGGCAGTATCTGCAGTGGCGGTGATCACCAACTCGCACATCTCCTCGCTGATGCAGCTCCGTAGCAGGCTGCTGGGACCGGGAGCGCTGTTCGGGCCCAGCGGCAACATGTCTCCACCGCTATCGCAGGTCAGCTCGCCGCTGCTGTTGCTGCCGTAGCTCATAGGCGGGCCGGCCAAACTCGAGGTCGTGCCAAACACGCTCCCTCCTCCTCCACCGCATCCGCCCACGCTGCCGCTGGTCACGGAGCTGCCACCGGGTGATCGCGACGTCAGCTCACTGCACACGGAAGGGGCAGGCGACGAGCTGTTGTTGCTGTTCACACTGCTGTTCACCACCACCGCTGACGGCTGGTAGAACGTCGGGCCGTGCGTCTGGTCGAACGAGCTCTGGCGATCGCGACTGCCGCCACGCTTGGAGATGAAGGCGCGCGAGTGGCCGCCCGACGCCTTCTGACCGCCGTGACTTCGTGTCTTGATGGCCGCGCCGTGCTGCTGTGCGGTCGCGGTAGTCGACTGCGTGCTCTCGCGTCGACTCGCGCCGCCCGCGGGTGTGCTGTTGGAGGGGGAGAGGATGGAGCTCACTGACGACAGGAAGCCCGAGTCGTCCTTGTTCAGGCGGCGGTGCAGTCGCGACGTGGACTTGTGCGAGTGCCGCTGCTCCAGCTGCAGCAGCTGCTCGGAGCTCTGCCTCGATGCTGCATTCGCTACCTCCTGCTGCTGCTGTGGGTCCTGCTCCTGGGCTGTTGTGCTGGCCGAGGAGCCCTGGTTGGACACCTGCTCGTGGGCGGCGTCGGTGTAGGACTCCGTCTCCGAAACGTCGCGCTGACACATGGGACACGAGGGCGTGGAGCGGGTGCGAGCAATAGCCCCGCGACCTCGGCCTCGCCCGAACGGCAGGCGCGCTGACCACTTGGAGCGCTTCTTCGTGTTGGCGACGTCGGCGCCAGTTTCTGGTGACGCGGCGAACACCACCGCTCTGCTCGCCGCAACCTGTCCGCCTTTGACCTTCACCGGCTGTAAGAACAACGGTGATGGCTGCGCGGAAGCCGTCTTTCTGCCGACACCAGTGGTGGAGTTTGTTAAGGTTGGCTCGGCGCTCTTGCTGCGGCGTACCGCTCTGTGCTCGCTGGACGAATGTGACATGCTATCGTGGCATCGCGGCGACTGATCGCCCGCTGAGCACGCGACCGTCGCTACGGCCGTCATCGCCGCAGAACTTGCTGATGGCGAGGTCCTGGCCTTTCCTGCGGCCATCATGGTCGAGTTGTCCTCGCCGGGGCGGAAGTTCACCGGGGACGGATGGCTGGTGAGCGAGTTGCCCTCGCTCGCACTCGACGACACCACTTCGGGAAACTCAAACACGCCGCTGTCGCGATGAAACGCGGACAGTGGCAGGCCGGACGGCGACATACTGCTGTTGTCGGATAGCGTGGACGCGACAGTATCGCCGCAGATCGGACCACTCGCGCAAATGCCGATACAACTCCCAGTGTGGCTAACACCGGCACCATTGGCAGCCGTCCCACCGCCGCCCCAGCCGCCGGGAGAAACCTCGGTTAAGAAGCCGACGGATAGTGAGCCGGACGAGCAGGACCTGCCCAGCCCCACCGTCCTGCCACGAGCCCTCGTCGTCGCACCGGCTATGCTGCTGACGTTTCTCGCCGCATCCTTGCACGGCGCTGCTGCTGTGGCGGTCGCGACAGTGTGGTGGTGCGGGCTCCGCGGACAGCACGCGGCGCAGTCTGCTGCCGATGCTGTGGCCGCGGTAGGTGTGGGTGGGGGCGTTCTGCCGTGAGGTAACATCGACACTGACCTCGGCTTGAGTTCGTTTGGCGACCAGTGCCGCCCAGTGCCGAGAGGCAGGGAATCCGGGCTCGGTTGATTGAAGTCTTCGTGCCACAAGAAGTCTTGCGGGGATTCGCTCTGCTGGAGGTTTGCACGTGCATACACACACACACACACACATCATGTACCACACACACACCATGTACCACACACACACACACACACACACACACACACACCATATACCACACACACACACACCATATACCACACACACACACACAAACACATGCACAAACAGACAGACAGACAGACAGACACACACACACACACATGCACAAACAGACAGACACACACACACATACACACACATACACACACAAACAGACACACCGCATGTAGATGGGTTGACTTCCAAAAGCTTTGAATTGACTTCAACATTTAAATTGTGTGATTCGTTGCACAGGTCAACTGTCATGGCTTGCATCGACAATAATAGTGTGGGCTGAAACCTATCCAATGTGTGTCAGGAGCGGGCCATTTAAATGCATTTCGATAACGATTCTGCTTGTGGCCCAGCTTTGTACCTTCGTTTATCTATGTGTGTGTGTGTGTGTGTGTGTGTGTATGCGTGCGCGCGTTATGCGTGTGTACATGTGTTTGCATGTGTTATATTTCCGGAGATCGTCGACAACTCACCAGCTCCGGCGTTTGTGCCGGCGCGGGGCCCGACCGTGGCGGTTGCCATGTCAACGCGTTAGCGCGCCATGCAGCTGCAGGAACACATGCCGTGCATGCCTGCTGCGCCTGTTGTGACTGGACACGATGGGGACTCCGCTGTTGTTGGTGCTCCTGCTGTTGGTGCTGACGTGTGGGCTCCAAGTTCAACGACAGCGTTTGCCCGAGAAGATCGTGCGAGCCGCGTCGCCGTCGACGATCCAGAATTGTTCGGTTCTGCTGCGTCTGCGACGGCGGCAATGCGGTGCCCGCCGCTGCCTCGGCGCCATAGTAGAAGGCCGGGGGCGAGGACATGGTCGCGGGATTCTTGCGACGCACCAGGCCGCGCAGCGACGAGAGCCACGTGTTCGAGTCGCGCCGCGATGACAACGAAGGAGCTCCCGTACCCTCAGCCGCCGCTGCTACAGTAGAGTTTACCGCGGTGAGGGACGATGCGGGCGAGACGGTTGCCGAGGATACGCTGCTGGTGTTGCGGCGAGACAGTAACGGACGGCGACGCGAGCGCATCCCTTCCTTACCGCTACCACTCTGCTGCTGCGCACACAAGACAAAAAAAAACCTCTGTTCCCTCCTCCATTCACTTCTGACATTGTGCATACTTGCCCCCGTAATCCCCAGTTATCTACCCCCCCCCCCCCCCTCCTCTGCGTATTTTCTGTAATCTTTTGTTTTTGTGGAGCGGTTGGATTGCCATGAAGCCGAGACCCTATTGTCGGTCAAGCTGCCCCTGCCTCTCCCCCCACTCCTGCCATTCCATGTGTCTCGTCGCTGCCTTGCTGCTTTGTGCCGGCGTCAAATGGTGTTTGGAAAAAAAGAAAAGAACACAAAATAAACAAAAAATCACCAATGAATGTTGACAAGAAAACGTGCTGGAAACAAACTATCACTACTTAGTTTTGTGACATGAGCGGGAGCGGGGGGGGGGGGGGGGGGATTTTATTCATAGCTATAGTACGGTTGATCCTACAGAGGGTGGTGGCGTTCCTACGGACGGATGCGGAACTGAGTCCCACGCGAACCGTGAAATTTATTTATATTTATTTTATAGTACGGTGATGAGGGAAGTTTCGCTCTGCGGACTTACATGGACGTATGCAACTATTGTAGGAACTACACGTAATTTTGATGCGCCCACCGCATGCACTACGAACCGAAACCGCGCTTTCCATTTTGTTTCCCATGCGGTGTGTTTCGCGCGGCTTGAACGTTGCCATGGATAAATCAGGAAAAATGCGAAAAACATTTCAAAACGTCCTACAAAGGGCCCGACGTAGGAAAGAGCTTTCCTACGGAAATCCGTAGAGAGGTTTACGTATGAAAGTTGCACTCGCTCCCCGGCGCGTACGACATACGGATTTTCATTCGCAATTACGTAGAGCGAAACCTCCGTATTATCTTCCCGTCGCCTATTAAAAAAAACCCAAAAATAACCCAGATCAGTTTACAAATGGTGACAGTAGATAGTAGATGAGTCAACCTCTGTCCGTTCCGGAGACTTATAGTACATATTCCTTGGCGTTTTAGGAACCATCTCATCAGCGGAGTGTGTTACAGGTAAAGAGAGAATACAGTCCACTTCGCTAATAACGACTGCGGATATAACGACAATTCGCGAATAACGACAGAATGTCCATGCCCAGAGCAAAGTCCCATCTAACTGTAATACATATAATGAGACTTCGGGTATAATTAACGACACTTCGCGAATAAGGACACTTTTCTGATGCCCCGCCGAGTGTCGTTATACGCAAAGTTGACTGTAGTGATTGATATGCTGCTGCTATTTTTAACAGTGATTGAGATAAAAATATATAATTATATAAAAGCAGTCAGGTATGTTGTTACAAAAACACCCACGCACACCCACGTACACGCACACACACACACACACACACACACACACACACACACACACACACGTGCACACACTGAAAGTGGCTTGCAAAGCACGCATACCTCTGCATTATCCAGTGTCGCGTTGGAAGGGGCTCTGGACTTGTCCAAGCCGCCTCCACGTCGCTTGTCCATTCCGATCTTGCTGTCAACGTTACTTTGCCAGCCTGGCATATACAAGTTGATCAAAACATCCAGACACAGGTTAGCAAGCAGCAACTTCAGTATAACGTACAGTTGCGCTCAATGAATTCCGACCCAAAGTGCATATTTGGCGCCCTCAACTAGCACGCCCTTGACGCCCTGGAAGTGGCACGAAGGCGGCTGGACGTACACATGTACAAATACAATGATGTAATCGAAACTGGTCCAGGGCGTCAGCTTTGCACTTCGGGTCGGATTTCACCGCCCACAACTGTACATTCAGGGGACATTTACTGATAATATCAGACAGGTCAAGTCAGGTTGGCGGGAAACGGTTTCAGCTTGGCAACTATACACCGTCTCCAGCACACCCAGCCAGATGAGACTTGTTGTTGAGGTGGCGCTTGAACGTTGAAAGTGTAAGCGGTTGCTGTGGGTTGCTGTGCTGTGCTGTGTGCTGTGTGCGTGTGTGTGTACGTATGTGTGTGTGTGTGTGTGTGTGTTGCTTCACTATGTCGCTGTTGCCACTTGCACTTTCTTAGGCACCAATCTGTCACTGCATTGCCTGCCTATAAAGTTGAATTCAAGGACTTGTTAGCTGCTGTTCACTGTGCCGATTGTCAAGCGTAATGGTGCGAAAGACCTCGTCGGATTTACCAGCAGCTTCTGCGCTCTGCGTGCTAATTTGTTTCCCTCCATTTGAATTTTGTTTTAGCGCAGTATCATATTCTGAAGGATGCCTCACGCAGATTCATTATTCATGTAAATCGCTTGCAGGCAACTCGCCTACACACAAACAAGCACTGCATTTTCACACAGAATCCAGTAATTTCGTGAACGTTTCGGTCTTTGTGACCAACGTCAGGAAACGGTCACACAGACTGAAACGAGCCAGCGGATTATTCGCTCATGAGCACTAAGTTCTATGCGTAGGCCAGGTGCGTCGGAACCGGTGCGCCAGGTGCGGGTGCGGCCAAAGCTGCACCAATAATTTCATTTTTGTGATCTTTGAAGTACTCTACAGTCCATTCAGAAAAAGATGAGCGCTGGCCCTGGAGACCTCCCGTGTTTGGCGATTTTGCCAGTGCTGCGAGATTCCAAACTTGAAAAAGGGGCCAAAAAGGTACCTCAACTGGGGTTTGAACCGCAAATGGACTGTTCTGAAAGTGGAGTGCACGGGTTGGATTTTCATGGCTTTTCCCCAATTCAGTGCTTTGGGGGCAAAACCTGGCCGATATCCTATTCTTGTTATGGCTTGCTTTTGGAGAATTGGACTTCAAAAACACAATTGGAAGCGCATTCCATGGGGGATTGCCAAAAATATTGTGACAAAAACTCAAAATTTGACCCATTTATGGCCAAAAGCTAGGATATCATCTTTTTCTGAATGGACTGTAATTTCAGAAATGTTCGGTGCTCAATATTTTCGGTATGAGAGCAAAAGGCCAGGTTAGGTGAACAGAAATTTTGCAGTTCCCTATTGGATTATGCGCGTTAGTGTTTGTTCGGTGTATTGAAATTTTAGGTATGAAACAGATGCACCGAAAGTACCGAAAATAAAAGTACACGGAAAATTTGTGAAATCACAGTATCCCTGATGATGCCCTCCCGGGTGAAAATTTGGACAATTACCGTAAAATACCGTTGATCCGCCCCCACGCCGTGTCACTTCTGAGCTGGTTTTTCGGCAGGGGGCGGGAATTAGATTAAGGCTGTCAAGTGCAGTACGATGTACAACAACTTGGAGGACCAGATTCGATGTGCTAAATTATACACATTTTCATCCTGGATTGGCAAATATTGTGTACAGCAATGCAAGCGTCGGTTCAACATCGTATTTCGTTGTATACGCCGAAATCGCTTCACGGGTAGAAAACCAACAGGGGGCGGGAATTAGAGAATAGAGAGGGGGCGGATCAACGGTACTTTACGGTATTATTCCCGTAGCTATGCAGAAGACGTTACTTCAGTAACGTCTGGCGCTAGCCAGGGTCCACACAGCTTTAATTCCCGTAGCTATGCAGAAGACGTTACTTCAGTAACGTCTGGCGCTAGCCAGGGTCCACACAGCTTTAATTTGGTGTTTGTTTGTTTGTTTGTGTCACGCCTGGCGCTATCCCGTATCTGTCCCGTACTGTACCGTACCAGCAAAGACAGCTGGCCACAATACTTTTGTTTGTTTGTGCCATCGACATGCCTGGCGCTATCCCGTACCTGTCCCGTACCATCAAGAGTACGGTACCATCAAGAGAATGAATATATATGCGAAGTGTATGGGGGAATGCATTCAGTGCAGTAACATTTTGTGTGGATTTGTGTGCGAGGCCGAGATCCCACTAGCAGGCTGGCTGGGCCGCCTGTCGACCAGCCCGGGAATCGCATGTAGGCCGATAGCATCATAATTATAACGTATATACAGTCATGTAGATGTATAGCAGGGAGTCATATTATGTAAACGACTCCCTGCTGTATGGGGAGATTTTCTGGAAAGAAATACGAAGTAGGCCTTGGCGGATAATGCCGGCAGAAAAATTGGCAGAATTCGGTACTTTTTCTGGTAGGTTTCATGCACGTTTGGTATGTGGATAAAGAAATGGAGCAGAATTCGAGGAATTGCACGCCATAAGGTTTGTATGGTTCTGCCAATTTCACTGCTTTTCGAGCAGAATCTGCCACCTTTTCGAGCATTATCCGCCAAGGCCTAATACGAAGTAGGGAGACGAGTAAATGCAATCAGAATGGATGTTAGTTGCCGTCAGTATAATAATAAGAAGAAGAAGAACGCCCGTGATCGGCAGAGTCAGCGCCGGTCCCAGGAAACGTCAGGACAGACATTCCGTCGACTCCAGAACGCCCGTGATCGGCAGAGTCAGCGCCGGTTCCATAGCTATGCAGAAGACGTTAGTTCAGTATCTCATTGAAACGTTTTTGCAATACAATGATGTAGCTAATCAAAGGAAAAAGCATTTCCATCAGTTCTACCAACATGCACGATGAGCTAGGCAACAAAGCATAGCGCAGGGCCCTGAGCTTCCAAGCTCTCTCGTTTGGTATTTGTGTGTTTGTTTGTTTGTGTCACGCCTGGCGCTATCCGTATCTGACGGCAAAAAAGCATAGGATGTTATAAATTTTTCAATTCTCCTACATGTATTTTTTTTCCAGGCATATCCTGGGATTCGAACCTGCACTATCGCCCTACATGCATTCCCCCATACACTTCGCATTCATACCCATTCTTCCAAGTTGCTTCACGTTATGATCTTGCGTTTGAAAGCCCTATTTGAATATTGCGGGCAGCTGTATGTGGCCAGCTGTGTTTGATGGTACGGTACGGTACGGGAGACGGTGTCGCATTACCCTCGATCGTACCTGTCCCGTACCTATCCCCTACCGTACCGTGCCATCAAAGACGGCTGGCCACAATGCATATTCAAATAGGGCTTTCAAATGCAAGATCACAATGTGAAACAACTTGGAAGAATTAGTATGTATGCGAAGTGTATCGGGGGATGCATGCAGGGCGCGCGATAGTGCGGGTTCGAATCCCAGGTTATGTCTAAAAAAAAAAGGATTTTTTTAAAGAATTTATAACATCCCTATGCTTTTTATTGTCTAGGTCATCAAGGCAAAAAAGCATAGCGTAGGGCCCTGAGCTTCCAAGCTCTCTCGTTTAATGTAGGTGGTGTAGCCAAGGACTGTTCGTGTGTTGCGAGTTGGGTGTACTTGAAAAAGATTTTTGTAGCAATGAAATATGGGCTATTTGGGCCCAATGGGAGGTATGTATCTAAGATGGCCGTCACCCCATATTTGGCAGGCACAACCCGTTATAGTACATTTATGTGTATGACCTCACAAAGTTCACGACCTTTATGCAGAGTTGGTATCACGGTGTGTATGGTTGTAGTGGACTTGCCCCGCAAAACCTAAAGCGTGATTCACAGAAGCTCTTTTTGCGATGCGACACGCGATGCGACGCGATCTGCGACGGACGCGTGCGATGCGAACTCGCGAAATACCATTCACAGAAGAAGTCAGCGATGCGACAACATCTTGCTGATTTGGCTACGTCACCATGATATTCGCGCGGTTTGATACAACTTGTACACATTTATAGGCAACTCTTGAACCTTTGTACAACTTTGCTGTAGAAAAGGTCAAAATCGTACGCCAAATCGCTTGTCGCATCGCATCGCATCGCAAAAGTTGAGCCAAGCTCAACTTCTGCGATGGCCTGCTGGGGCCAAGTTGCGGCATTTGCGTGGGGTGCGACATGGCTGCGATTTGGGGTTTTCCCGGTTTCGCGTCTGTCGCATCGCAAAAAAGCTTCTGTGAATCCCGCTTAATGGTGGGAAATTGATGCATGCGTCCCGTTTCCCTAAAAATTTAATATTCCTGAGGGAGGACCCCGGACCCTCCACCCATTTACGGCCGCACCAATGCTGAATAGCTTATGGCACCCCTGTAGTGTGAGTCGGTATATTTGCGTATGGGAGCTAAGTATACAACATGAGTCGGCGGTTTTGCATGAGCTAGTGCATCGCTGTGCCGCGGCTCTGCCACTCCACACAGAGCACCTCAACGATGAGGTAATCGCCACACAAAGCAGATGAACTGATGATGTAATCTCCATGCGAAGTATCCCAACTGGTGATGTAATCGCATAGACCCGGTATGTATAGGTTATGCGAATGATGTCATGGTGGTGAAATAGCGGATCCCCGTATGGGCGCTCACTATACGGCTCGAGTCAGCGCAACTGCTTATGGGAGCCACCCAGTATACAGCGCGAGTCAGTGGTTTTAGTGCGGCGCTGTGTTGTGGCTTTGTCCAGGAAAAGTGTCGGTTGTTGAAAGTGCGTACCGGCAAACTAACACTGGCAAACCGTGATCCAGTTCACACGGTGCTGGGCAAAATTCGCAACCGTCAAGGTATCCATAGTGACCTCCTGAAAATGCCGGGAAATGTTAAATTTTGAATTTTCCCTTGTTCAAGCACTGCATTAATTTTGCAGTACGCACTTTCAACAACCTACACTTTTCCTGGCGTGCAAAGATAATCGCGAGCAAAAGGGCCTCGGCCAAGATAAAAAATCAGTTGCACGCGTGTGTCCAAGTTTATCGTATCCGAGTGAATATCCTTGGAAACGGTACGATAAAAGTAAGTTTGCCCGTCGTGTGAATGGCCTATTATCCGAGTGGTCGCCTTGACAGGTTGTACTGTAGTCACATCACTTCTATACTTCTGAACCGAAACTGAGAGCACTTAGGTTACCAATAGGTTACCAATAATATTTTCAAAACGAAAAGTTTTCGTTTGGGGGTGGGTGGGTTTGATGGAGTTTCGTTTTGAAAATAATTATTGACTGCAGATGGAGAATGCCCAGCTACGTCTGGGTGTCGAAAATTGACATCACTATTAGAATCCGTTTTACCTGCAGAAAAGGTGGGTGGGTGGGTGGTGGCTGAAAAATACTAAAACTTTTCGTTTTGTAAAAACAATCGGTAACCACGGACGGGCCCCTTACCTGATGCACTTGAGGAGGTTGGATTTCTCCTGTGAGGTCTTCGTATCTCTAATGTGGTAGTGTCCCCGAGGGTAATCAGAGTCCAGCCACTTCAACAAACCCTAACACCAACTCCATCGCTCCTGCCGTCCTGGCCTGGTCGACCAGTACGGCCTCCACTTGGCTTCCACTGGCCAACTGCCTCCACTTCCACACCTCCACGCGAACACGGTAGCAACGGCAGCAGCGCCTCTCAAAGGCAAATACACCCTGATGTAGTTTCGTTATGGATGGTTGAAAAACTCCAGCAAATCAGCCAGCACAGACTGAGATCGATCCGACCAGGAAAACTTCACCCACCAGCTCCTTCTACAGCGCCCTGCGAGCTAGCAAGGACAATATCCACAGTACAGGATGCCCAGTTTTCCACCGCTTATTCGGCCAAGCTCGGCAGAGAAATGCTATACAAGGTCGATCAGTGACCTGCTAAAAGGAGGCTTTTTCTTCTTTCACTCTACTATTTGGCCAGCTCTGCTTGGCAAAGAATCTGACCCGCGCTACGAACTCCACTCAACAATCAAGTCCCGTCTCCAAAATTCTGAACCCAGCTTCACCCGCTTGTTCCAAACCTAGCAGCCAATAACTAATAAGAGGCTCTTCACGCCTGTTGTGTCCTCCACAAAGAAGATCTTTCGACCTCACAGTCTAATCAGCAGCAGTTTTGATTTCTGTTTGTCATCATTGTCACACCGCGATGCTTCCAAAACTGCTCCGTATGGACAGGCGATGCAGACATGCGTAGCACCATACGCGGACAACTCGTGCTCCCGTACTCGGATCGGGTTTCTCGATCGAGTTCTCGTTCGACCACGCGGAGGTCAACAGTTCTCCATGTGGCCGTACGGCCGTGTGTGGGCATATGGGCCCGTTCCATCCTCCCAGTGCACTGTGCAGTGCCAGTCGCGATCCCGGGTCACAAGATTCTAGAATCGCAGCGGTGAAGTGTGTAGATCTACTAGTACTAATGATTATGTACAACAATTATGTTAGGTGGTACAATGTGTGTAGCCTGTAAACCTAGCTACAAACCTGGCCGTTGAGTGGTGTTTTGATCTGCACTGCAGAGGTACGGCTACGAGCAACAGAAATTGTCTCTTCATCTGTCTTCAAAGCAGGCCTGAGGGCCAGGGAGAGCTAAAGCTGTGGTCGTTTCGGTTTTGTCCGATCCGAATCCAGACCCAGATCCCAGGTTTGTGGCGTTGAATCCCTCAGAATCAATTATCACTTTGTCTCTTATTCACACCAATACTTGATACCTTCTTGAATCTTCCAGAGACCTCGTCTTCTACTACTAGTTCTAGCAAGAGTACATAACCCAATTGGGTTATGTACTCTTGGTTCTAGACGTAGAAAAAACGAAAGTCACTCCAGAGGACCAGAGGTTGTACTCATCTGGCATACTAGTGAATGGCAGGGGGCAAGTCATCTCCACGTGTCTGGATACACTTGTATACATGTGTACAACAACTATCGGACAACGCTTGCTCAAACCAGGGAGTAGTAAAATGTATTAATTTTTACAACAAAAAAAAAAAATTTTACTACTCCTTGCTCCCGTATCGATCCCAACCCACGTCCACACGCGCAAGTACGAGTACCGTAAAGTTCGCCGAAACGCGCATGCGCGAAGAGGGCTTTGCTACGGTGGTAAACTATTGACAGCATTGTTCTCTTTCCCGGTTTCAAAATCTCTTTGGGCACTAGCTACGAGCTAGCTCCTAGTGATTTTGTGATGATGGTTGTTTTATTTCGAAAAATCCAAACGGGAGTTTCTTCCGAATAACAAGGTAGCGAAGAACAGAGTATTGCAGGAACCTTAATACACTTCTGACGGTGTTTCAAGGCATCATTTCCAAATCACGCATCGCCCAAAGGCATGGGTTTTTCTCGAGCACTTCAGAGTTTTCAAAAAGTTAGCAGCGACTTTGTAGGTGTAGCTTCTGTGACATCCCCTGTTCGACTTGCAACTGCGGCCGGTCAAGTCGTTGAATGACGCCTCGTCAGAACAATCCGTTCTGAAAGCGCGACATCGTGGCAATGCAGAAATTTCACGATTTGAAAACCGGATGGATTCTGCTGCATCACCACATGGACAACGAAGTAAGAAGAAAGACGACTCATTTATCGAATGAAAGGAAATCTCGACAGAAGTTTATCTTTGCAGCAAGATAATGACAATCGCTTTTGCACAGCCTCCTGGTAAGGGTTGGTTCACATAAGCAAAATCGGCGCCGCAAGACATCGGCGGTAAGCCAGCTCCCGATCCGTTGCGCATACGGTTCGAGTACCAAATCTACTACAAAGTAGTACAGAATGTGCCCAAATGCTACGACAGGTTTGCCAATTGAAGCTTGAATTCTTTGTTTCTTCAGTAGTTCAAGGTCTTTTGGTGATGGCCACTCGGTGCTACCTTTTACTGGAGATCATGAAAATACTTCTACACATTTTATTGCAGTCTAGTAAGCGATTGTGTCGAAATTATGCTTGCAAACGTTGGTGAAGTCACAAGAACTTGCCAATGTATCCATCATATTTTTTATTTGTTTCAATTGTATTTGTCTCATAAGTTGCACAATGGTCAAGCAGATCATCCGAGAAGGACGGGCTGGTATGCTGACTTATTTGCCAGCTTGAAGCGACTACAAGAATGGCGAACGGACCTCCTCTCTAGCTTCAATTTAGGAAAATTTAGGACAAGTATTGGTTTGATATTTTGACGAAGTCTGGCTCCCGGCAGCCGGCGATCACCGGCGCGAACGGTTCACAAACCACTTTTGGTCAAAATTGTACGGGATCGGCGCCGGGGCAGATCGCAAGAGTTGGGCACTGTCCAACTTTGCCGGCGGTCCCTTGCGATATTTTACCGTATGATTTTGTTACGACTGCACTGGTTCACACAATCGCAATGTGCCGGGATAGGTTGCAAGAAGCCCACCGCCGGTGACTCCCGGTGCGTACCGGCGATATGTGAACCAACCCTAAGACACAGGCAGTTTGTAGGCATTATAGTCGCTCTCGTACGCATTCGACCCTCATGAAAGTTGTACTATATTGACCTGAAAAAGACGAAAATAGTATGGACCCGCTGGGCCCGGGCGTTTGCTGCGAAGTGGGCGTTATTATATTTTATTTATTATATTTATTACAACATAAAAATTAAAATTAAAGTAAGGGGAGGGAAAAAGAAGTTTGCAGCAGACTTTACGGTAAGTACAAACAAACATCTGGTTTGGGCCAAAACAGAACCCGCATTGCTTCGTTTCAAGCACCCACTTGCAGGAGCACACACATTACTGATAACCAGTTATGTACTCTTATCCCATAGTACGGTAGGAAACCATGGATTCAGCCAATCAGCAGCCATTATTTCCGGGGAATATAGCACGTTATTATTTTGTCTTCTTGAGTCTTGTGTTGGTGGTCTAATGATGATTTGGCCAAGAGCGTTATGTCTTGGTACTCTTGAAAACACGATGCCCAAGACATTGTCGTTACTTTTCTTGCTACGTACTGTACGTGTGGAGTCCTTTTAGCCCTCTCTAGTCAATCTGTGTTTCATTCTTCTCTTTTGGACCAGGGACCGGAATAGAAGAAGTCTGGGCGATTATTTTCAAGTGAGTTTGGAGATACAAAGTCGACAACTTTGTGACAGAAGTGCAGGTACTGGAGTAATCTTCTGTGTACATGTTTCAGGGGCGTAGCACCCGCTACGACTGGTACGACCATGGCCGTACCACTTTTCGAAAAGTGTGGTCCGTCCGGAACGTGCACAACCGTAATAAAAGAAATCCGGATCCATCGATGCATATGCGCATCAGACTTTGACCTTTTTCTAGACTCGTAGATCTGTTATGCATCTGCAGTCGGACTGAGTCTACTGTACTCGACTCGACTGCATGCACACTGCGCCAGAAGTGTGTGTGAAGTGTGCCAGAAGTTCCCAGAACGCAGGATTTTGTGTCTTTTTTACAAAATTTTCCCGCGGGAGGTCCCCCGGACCCCCTCCAACACGGCCTTCGGCCGCGCCGACCTTCGGTCGTACCACTTCCAAAACCCCTCCTACGCCCCTGTGTTTACGTTGAAACCTGGCCTGCCAAACCCAGTAACTGTTGACCTTTTCTGCTTTGTTGCCTTATATGGAGATAAGAGAGTCATGGACTCCAGGCTTGCTGACCAGGAACATACACTCCTAGTCCTATCCGAGTCTATTTTCCTGACGGTCTCAGTCTGGGACTGGGGGGGGGGGGGGCACTGTCAGAACTTCGAAATGTCCGGAACTATGAATCACGTACGTTTTGGTGGGGAAGTGCCAGAGATTAGGTATTATACCAAAACACGTTTGCCAAGAAAACTTGGCGAAAGAGTAGTGATAGTAGTACAGGGTGGCCGGTGCGGTAGACTCAGTGCCCGTAACTTCCAAGTTCGGAGAGGAGAGATACTTGTATGGGCGTACAATCCAGAGTACAGGTCGTACCCCGTTAATACGAGTCCGGTTAGTACATAAACCCCGTTAGCACATAAGAAATCTCAAGTCCCGGACGAAACGTGGTCACTTCCATACAAATTTTGTCGGTTAGTACATAATTCGTTAGTCCATAAACCCCGTTAGTACATAACATTTCTCCATACCCGCATGCCACCTACCTCAATAGTACATAATTTGTTGGTCTTGTGGCCTTCCAGTGGAGGCACATCGTGTTCTAGTTTCTACTTGTGGATGCAATTAGCTCAGAAATCAGAGTGCACATCACAAACCGACAAAGCTCTGTTTTTTTTTCCAGTGACTATACAGGCGCGGCTAGGGCATGTATCATGCAAACTGTAGTCTCTCCGCTGACTGTGACCGGTATAACATAATTTTTATGTTATACCGAGGGAATCAAGAATATCTCGCTGCCTAGCCATGGTAGCAAGAAACACTCAGAAAAGTAGAAAAAAGTGATTAACCCTCACACCACAGAAGAGTGGCGTCGCAAGCTTATATTGAACGTGAGCACGACATGATTATTGTGATCATGATGATGTATAACATAGTTCGCGTGAAATGATCGGACTGGGCCGTCTAAGGCCGCCCATCTGTAACATAGTATGATAGGAACAAATAACGTCACCTATCGGCTATGAAAGAGCGTTTGAAAGACGACCCATGGGGTCATGTAACAATCATAAAGGCTGGGTGTACCAGTACATTGCTATGGCAACTGCATGACCACTAAGT